AATTGTGTGAATAAATAAAATCTGATCAAAATAAAACAAAAAGTTTCCTCTCTTTCTTTTGCTAAATTTAATTTTTTTATACTGATTTACCAATATCATTTTTTTAGATTATGAAAAATATATTTGTCAATTATTTTAAGTCAATATGTAAATCAATGAGAATTATTAGTATTTTATGAGTATTACAAACGAATTTGAAATTAGTCATCTTTAGGAAGTTATAATCGTGTGAGTGTGACTGTGAGTGTCATTTAGATATATCGAGCGTATCAAGAAAAATGGTTCAAATTGATTGAAATATCGTAAAAATTGTTTTTTTAATGAAAAAACATCATTTTTAGTGATTTTCTTGTCAAATTGCCTCCGATTGATCTATCCTGTAATCCATTTTTCGTCTCAATCAGAAATGGTTTTTGGACTTTTTTACCATTTTGTAGAGATGAAAAAACTGTACAACATATCAAAAACTCAATCTGGGACCGTGAGAAATGACCGAATATGAATAAAAACAGTGAAAAGTATTATCTAGTTTTTGATCGAAAAAATGACCCATTTTGAACTGTATTTGTCATATAAAATAGGTTTTACTCATTGCAAACTAACATGTAAATTGGTCATCATGTTCGACTCTTCACACTCTATCTTTTGGTATATTACACAAAAAGTTTCATTGATCTGTTTCTTTTACAAAAATACTTCACTTTAAATTCACAATTTTTCATCAAATTACCTTAATAACATAATGAGTACCTCTGAGTCGAAATAAACTAACTTTTGACCAGCTTATTCAAATTCGCTAAAAATTTGAAAATGACGGTTTCAATTGATGTTGAGTCGAATGAGAACGTACAATCAAAAAAATAATTTTCACGAATGTTCGATGTTGTCTTGGACCCTCTCTTAATAACAAAACGATTTGATTTCAAAATTTACATGATTTAGTCATTTAAATTTAAAAAATTCTAAACATTTGAATTTTAATGAACCAAATCATGAAGGATATTTTTGGTAAAACAATCATATAAAAATTTTTATTTCACTTGCATTTGCGTAGTGTTTTTATTAAGAGCATGGCCCCTAATACTAGAATATTCACTTCCTACAATTATATCAATAACTACTCAATTAATTTCTTAGGTAATTAGGTTATTTTTCCATGACTGAATGTATCAACGTCATCTCTAATTAGAAACGTGAAAGAATTTTCTGTGTCAAAAGATGATTGAGAAAAATACAAAATAAACATAAGTGTTGACTACGCTTATTTTTATTAGAAATCTTGTCTATATTTATTTTAAATTATAATAATGGAAAATAACTCCAGTAGTCCTTCGAGTCAGCAATGAATCCATTGATTCCCAATTGTTTAACATTAGCACAATTTCGTCGTGTTGTTTGTCTTGTGAAGTCTTGTGTAATAATTCTTAACTCTTCGTAAAAAACTTTTAATTCCGTCAGAGAAGGTAAACGTGTTTTGGTTTCATTAAAAAATTGCTCGACGTAAAATATACTTGTTCTTGTAATATCAAGTGAACGAAGATGAGAATATTCAACAATTTCATGCGCTTGAATAACGTTATCAAACGATATATGCATATCATATGACCATGGTGTCAAATTTATCACATTAAGCTTTGTAAGGTTTGGAAAAGTTTTACTTATTCGTAGAAAATATTCATGTTCAAATGGTACTTCATCATATAGAACTAAGTCTGTAACATAGTTGAACGTAATATTTGGAAGTGTATTACCAACATATGCGAACTCAGTAAATTGAACAGGAAGTGTAAGAATGTGATATACAATTTCATGATTCACATTTTGAACGAAATCCAATATTGTTTGATCTCTTATATTGACATAATTTTGTTTAATATTATTATTGGATAAATATCGAAGTAAATCACATTTATTATACTTCATACCAAGATAAAAGTTGAAAGAAGTAAGTTGTGGCATATGTATTGTAAATTGATTGAGAAGATATATTGGATCAGTAAATGTAGTTTTGAAGAGGAAACGCAAATGCAAAGTTAGTTTTTCTAGGTTTATCATACGACGAAGATGAGATAAAATTTCATTGGGATTGAGATCTTCTTTAAATGTGCCATAATACATTAAGGAAAAACATTTCAGATTAGGCAAGTCATCCTACAAAAAAAAATAATATTTTTATAAAATCCTCTATCATTTGTCAATAGTAAACGTTGACTTATTATGTGCATATCCTAGTCATTGGTAAAATTTAATTAACTTATTCAATGAACTCGAAAAAATGTATTAATATACTTACTAAATTATGAATAATTGATGAGTCGGTATCCGTAAGACGAAATTGAACAATCAATGTACTCAAATTTTTGAGACGACCATCAAGTAAATAAACAAAATCAACAAAAGTTGACACAATAATGCAGAGATATGTAAGCGTAGAAGAAAAAAACGTATTCGATGGTAAATAACGAAGAGACAAACTTATATATGTAAGACCTAATGGCGAAGTAACATTTAGATGTTGTAACTTTTCGCAGTAATTTAAAATAGGTGCATACACTCTTTTTGTATAAACTTCCGATGATCCTGACAGATATGTAGATTTGTTGTAGAGAAGATCCAGCTTTGTAATTTGTTGTTTTAAAATATGTCCAATTGGTGAATCATCTAAATGAAAATACAACCATAAAACATTGTAGAATCTATATATTTTACGCATAATCCTGTAATTAAAATAATTATTTACCTATGAAATATCGCAGTGAATAATCATATTCCAAATTTAAAAGTTTCAAGCTAGTTAAATTTGGATAAGAAGTGGTAAGAAGAAGACGTTCCATATAGTCCGGTTGAAGAATGAGACATTTCACATTGAAAGATATTTGAGGTAATATATCACTACATAATCGATTGAGTATTGAATTAAATATTGTCGAATTTTGAGCCGATAATACTATGTTAAGAGTACTAGAAAATGAATCATGTCGTATTATGTTCTCAAACCGTTCATTATTAATGCCAAACAATGAATAGAGAACATCAACATTATTAAGTTTCTTTAAAATAATTAATAGAATTTCATCAGGTAAATCAAGTAGGTGAATATTAAATTGATTCATGTTCACTAACATATGCTCTATGAAGGTATCAATTTATATATCAGAGAATATTCTTTGTATATGCTAGTCTTTCTTGACGTCGATAGAGAATACGATGAATGATTCAATGCGAGAAAGGCTAAAGCAATGTATCAACCAATGAAATCATAAACGAATATTAATTATTTTTCTTTTATTGTACACACATTCTCATCTGTAACTTATCTTTGTATAGTTTTTGTTAGTGTGGACGACAGAAAACGATGATGTGTGTGTGGGTGTGAGTGTGGTTGTTTCTTCCTTATTCCGTCATCCCACACTCAGACCCTTATACAAATTTTAAATCACTCGAAACTCTCAAGTGCTCAGGCAATTGTAACACGAATCGGTGCTACTGTAAGAAAAACAATCGAAAATGCTGTACGAAATGTGACAGCGATAATCATTCAAGATGTAAAAATTGCTAGATTTTTCTTTATGTTTATTAACAGTAGATTATAGAATTTTTTTTGTTTTTTACGGGTTTTTTTTCAATACTTTGCTTTATTTGTACCTCCTCTATTCAATAAAAGACTATTTTGATATTGAAAACAGTTTTACGATTATTCATTTTAGAGTCAACTCCGACATATATATAATTCTTATAGAGAGAAAGAGAGAAGTGAATAGTAGTGTCAAACTCAACAACTGAACAAGACAATGAAAAGTGAAAGACAAACACAAAAATGAATATCCATTCAAACAACTCTCATCCCAAACGAAATAGAACGAAATTGTTTCTGCTCTTTTTCCCCACAGAATATGTCTTTTCTTTTTGGCAAATTATTCATTATTTCTTCTGACAGAGAATATATGTCGATCTTGTCGTCTACATTGGAGGTCAAAGTTCGTTATAGAAAAGGTCAATAAACTGCATCAACTGAGTTCATCATTCTGCTCAGTTTGCTTATTGCTTTCTAACCAAATATGTTGTTCAAATTGTTATTTATTATTCATTGTTTTTTATATTCATGTGCATATCGTATACCAAGTAAGCTATAGAATTTGTATTAGAAATTAGAATCTTGACGGTGTGGCCGTGAGATGTTGGTGATACCTCACACCAGCACCCACACCCACACCCTGATGATTTATTGTAATGTGCTCCTTTTTCTTACTTTTGTGAGAAAGTTACTGATCGTTAAACTTTTTTTCATTCAATGCAAAACATGAGTGACTTATGTAGTTTAGTGTCTAATCAATCACTCAATCATATTACAAGCACGTTTTTTTTTTAATTTGTTTCCACATTACTCGATCGAACATTTGTATAATATATTCACTATAGGCGAAAATAAATGGAAGATCAAGTATATATCGGATACAAATGGTGGCAAATATGATCATGCGGTTAATGGCTATGAATTCGATACAGTATTATACGAAACTAAAAGTAAGTATTATTAGCTTTACTTGTAATCATTATATTAATATTATTCACATCATTTAAGTACCGGGAAATGTGATCTGTCCCTCCTACTTATCTTACAAAAGCGTCTTGCCGTTTCAAAACTACTCAGGTTATGTCTATTGCACTAGACTTCACAGAGGTATTGTGCAAATATGTCCACCAGATAGTGAAGTCATAGATGGTATTGGTGGATGTGCTAACAAAACAAGTAAGTGAAAAGAGAAAGAGAGAGCGCGAGAAAGTAGAATATTCTAAATTGTTTTGTATTGTTTCAGCCAACACCACAATATTTCCAGCTGGATCTCGATGTGCTTCAAAGCCTTGCGGAGATAGGGGTGTTTGTTTTGATTTTCCATCAGCTAATGGATATTATTGTGAATGTTCTTATCCATATACAGGTCTTAATTGTCAAGCAGAATACCGAGAATGTCCTCGATTTGCATGTGGTAACAGAACATCAAAGATTGTTCCAATGTGTTCTGATTATACATCGGACAAAGCTCTTCCTTACATTTGCACTTGTTTGATGCTCAATGCTCCTGTAGAAATGAGGTTTGCACTCAATAATTGTCACAATGAAAAGTTATTCTCACTGAATTGTGGTGGAGCAGAACGTGTTGGTGCAGTACCATTTACTAACAAAGGCTTCTATATTTGCTCTGGTTCAGTAGGAGTATCGGTGAGATCATGTGACTTACATCATGTGTGGAATGACACACAAAAAGAATGTGTACCTGAACATACACCACCTTAAATATTATTTTGTTCTTTTTTGTTGTATAATATTGTTGATTATGTAGATTTTTTCTTTGATTTCTTGTAAAGTTAATCTGGAAGATTGTAGAAACAATAAATATATATGTATATGAAAACAACTGTTAACTGGCGATAAACAGATTTAGACTGATCAAAATAAAATATGAATGATGAGCTTCATTGATGATTATTGCTAGTAATAGTCAGGTGATTTAGTTGAAATATCCTTTTTGAATATTTTGTGAAGTGTTGTTATAGTGTTAGTCGATAAACAGTTTCAAAATGAAATCAAATAAAACCATCTCGAGGGTGTGGGTGCGGCTTTGAGCGACGCTGTATATTTTGTGTAGATGTAGGTGGTAATGCGCCAGTTAAACCTATAACCGACTCGTACACTCACCCATACCCAAACGTAGAACTCACATCCATACCTCTTCTAGAGTACAATTAAATACTTTATCAAACGCTGAACAAAACGTGTCATGTACATCTACTTTTTATTTGATACTTTATGGAATTCATATTTTTTAATAAGACTTCATTAAAAAAGTAAAGTTTATTTTCAGTTTTCAACGTGTCTATTTCAGAAAGATTATATACTAGAGATCTACAAATTTTGGAAGTGTGCGGACAAGTAGAAAGAAAAAAAGAAACAAAATCTTTAACAACACAACCAGCACAATTTTATAAAGATGTTACAAACGACTCACCCATTCTATCATGAAAGTCGACAGAAAGTGTTTAGATTTTTTAAATATTTATATTTATAGAATGCTTAAAGGGACAAAGATAGAACTGAGTAGTTGTGTTAAAATAAACAACTAGACGAGACAATGAAAAGTGAAAGAGAAACACAAAAATGAATATACATCCAATCAACTCCCAAATGAAAAAGAATGAAATTGTTTCTGCTCTTTTTTCCCCACAGAATGTCTTTTCCTTTTGGCAAATCATGTATTATTTCTTTCGACAGAGAATATATGTCGATCTTGTTGCCTGCATTGGAGGTCAAAGTTCGTTATAGAAAAGGTCAATAAACAGCATCAACTGAGTTCAGCGTTCTACTTAGTTTACTTATTGCTTTCTAACCAAATATGTTGCTCAATTTGTTATTTATTGTTCACTGTTTTTTGTCTTCATGTGCATATCGTATACCAAGTAAGCTATAGACTTCATACGAGAAATTAGAGCTGATAATACTGAAAGAGTTTGATTATGTCATCTAAAACATAAATTGTATTTTACCAATCATGGAATATTTGTTCTATGTTTGACCATGCTATCATGTGAGAAAGTTACCGGTCGTTAAACTTTTTCTCGTTCAATGCAAACAGAGATGGGCAACTCCAACTCCACTCCAACTCTAACTCCAGTGTTTGCGATGTCAACTTCAACTCCACTTCAACTCCAAGGAGTTAAAGTGTCAACTCCGGAGTTGGAGTTGCTCATCTCTGAATGCAAAACTAGAGTAACTTATATAGTTTAGTGTCTAATCAATCGATCGATTATATCACTAACACATTTTTTCTGAAATTTTCTTTTCACATTGCTTGATTGAACATTTGTATAATATATTTAACTATAGGCGAAGAAAGATGGGATATCAAATATATATCGGATACAAATGGTGGTAAATATGATCGTGCGGTTAATGGCTATGAATTTGATACAGTATTATACGAAACTGAAAGTGAGTATCATTTGCTTTACTTGTAATCATTATATTAATATTGTTCACATCATTTAAGTACCGGGAGATGTGATCTGTAGCTCACCCTACTTATATTACCAACAAATCTTGCTGTTTCAAAACCGAACAGGTTATGTCTACTGCACTAATTCGTACAAAGGTATTGTACAAATATGTCCACCAGGTAGTGAAGTCATAGCTGGTGTTGGTGGATGTGCTAACAAAACAAGTAAATGAAGAAAGAAGGAGAGCAAGAAAGTAAAATATTTGAAATTGTTTTATATTGCTTCAGCTAACACCACAATATTTCCAGCTGGATCTCGATGTGCTTCAAAACCCTGCGGAGATAGGGGTGTTTGTTTTGATTTTCCGTCAGCTGATGGATATCATTGTGAATGTTATTCTCCATATGCAGGTCTAAATTGTCAAACAGAACACCATCGATGTCCTCGATTTGCATGCGGTAATAGAACATCGAAAATTGTTCCAATGTGTATAGATTTTGCATTCGACAAAGCTCTTCCTCATGTTTGCCATTGTTTGGTGAAAGGTAATACGGAAGATAAGCATTTTGCACTCAATAGTTGTCACAATGAAAAGTTATTCTCAATGAAGTGTGCTGGAGCAGAACGCGTTGGTGCAGTACCATTTACTAACAAAGGCTTCTATATTTGTTTTACTGGTTCAATTAACGCTTCCGTGAGATCATGTGACTTAGATCGTGTGTGGAATGACACACAAAAGGAATGTGTACCTGAACATACACCACCTTAAATATTATTTTGTTCTTTTTTGTTGTATAATATTGTTGATTATGTAGATTTTTTCTTCGTTCTGCTGTAAATTTAATCTAGAAGATTGTAGAAACAATAAATATATGTGAGAAAATAACTGCTAACTGGCGATGAACAGATCTAGACTAAATAAAATAAAATATGAATGATGAATTTCGTTCATGGCTATTACTAGTAATAATCAAGGGAATTTAGTTGAAATATCCTTTTTGAATATTTTGTCAAGTGTTGTTATAGTCTTAGTCGATAAACAGTCTGAAAATAATATCAAACAAAACCATTTTGAGGGTGTGGGTGTGACTGAGGGCGTCACTGTAGATGTAAGTGTTGATGCGCCAGTTAAACCCACAATCCACTCCTATACTCACCCATACCCAAACGTAGAACTCACATCCATACCTCTTCTAGAGTACAATTAAATAGCTTATCAAACGTACGAACAAGTCATGTACATCTACTTTTTATTTGTTACATTGTTACATTCATCTTTTTAACAAGACTTCATAAAAAAAATAGAGTTTATTTTCAGTTTTCAACGTGTCTATTTCAGAAAGATTATATACTAGAAATCTACAAATTTCAGAAGTGTTTGGACAAGTAGAAAGACAAAAATAAACAAAATCATAACAAAAAAAATCTTTAACAACACAATCAGCACAATTTTATAAAGATATTACAAATGACTCATACATTCTATCACGAAATTTTATAGAAAATGTGCAGTTGTTTTAAATATATATGTATAAAATGCTTATAGAGAGAAAGTGAGAAGTGAATAGTTATGTTATAATAAACAACTAGACGAGACAATGAAAAGTAACAAGGAAACACAAAAATGAATATCCATCCAATCAACTCCCAAAAGACAAAGAATGAAGTTATTTCTATTCTTTTTTCCCACAGAATTCGTCTTTTCTTTTTGGCAAATCATGCATTCTTCCTTTTGACAGAGAATATATGTCGATCCTGTCGTCTACATTGGAGGCCAAAGTTCATCAGTAAAGGTCAATAAACAGCATCAAGTGAATTCATCTTTTTGCTCAGTTCACTTATTGCTTTCTACCCAAATATGTTGTTCAAAGTGTTATTTCTTGTTCATTGTTTTTTATATTCATGTGCATATCGTATATCAAGTAAGCTATAGACTTTGAACTGAAAGCTAGAATTGATAATATTGAAAGAGTTTGATTATGTCATCTAAAAAATAAACTGTATTTTTTAACAATCGTGGAATATTTGCTCTATGTTTGACAGTGCTATTATGTGATATGTTTCATAAAATGAAATAAAGAAACATCATTCAGTATGTCATTGTTTTCATCTCTAATAACGTCTTTTTACTTATATGAGTACTCTTTACGAGTTTAGTTCACCCTTGAAGGGTATAGGTATGAGATGTTAGTGATTATAGATGGAACCGGTCCGATTTTTTGTCGATCGGTAGCAGTCTAAAACTTTTAGATCGAATCGGATCGACCGGTCAACCGATTTTTTACCGGTAGACCGGTAAAAATCGATAGTGTAGAAGTCGTTAACTCGGTTCGACTTGAACTGATGTTATACTGGATTTGACTGCTGATAACGTTTATGTTTTATCTCTCTAGGGAGTATGGATACATTTTCGGTAAAAAGATAATTTTTTAGAAAGAATAAGTTTTTAGTGGAAAATAGGCTGGTAAATACTGGCAGATCGGTATTGACCGGTAGAACTACCGGTCTAAAGTCCGGACCGGTTCCATCTCTGTTAGTGATAGTCCTCACCCACACCCATCCTCGAACAAGAGTGACGTATATAGTTTAGTGTCTAATCAATCGATTAATCATATCGCTAACACATTTTTCTTATATTTTTTTTCACATTGTTTGATTGAACATTTGTATAATATAATTAACTATAGGCAAAAACAGATGGGCGATCAAATATTTATCGGATACGAATGGTGGTAAATATGATCGTGCGGTTAATGGCCATGAATTCGATACAGTATTATATGAAACTGAAAGTAACTATCATTTGCTTTACTTGTAATCACTATATTAATATCGTTCACATCATTTAAGTACCGGGGGATGTAATCTGTAGATCACCCTACTTATATTACAAAATGGTCTTGTTGTTTCAAAACCGAACAGGTTATGTCTACTGCACCGATATTTACAAGGGTATTGTGCAACTATGTCCACCAGGTAGTCAAGTCATAGATGTTATTGGTGGATGTGCTAACAAAACAAGTAAGCGAGAAGAGGAAGAGAGAGCGAGAAAGTAAAATATTTAAAATTGTTTTGTATTGTTTTAGCCAACACCACAATATTTCCAGTTGGATCTCGATGTGCTTCAAAACCTTGCGGAGACAGGGGTGTTTGTTATGATTTTCCATCAGCAGATGGATATCATTGTGAATGTTATCATCCATATACAGGTCTTAATTGTCAAACAGAATACCGGCCATGTCCTCTCTTTACATGTGGTAATAGAACATCGAAAATGCTTCCAATGTGTCTAGATTTTACATCAGACAAAGCTCTTCCTCACGTTTGCAATTGTTTGGTGATCAATGGTTCGGCAGATTTGACTTTGGCACTCAATGATTGTCATAATGAAACGTTATTCTCACTAGATTGTGATGGAGTAGAACGTGTTGGTGCATTACCATTCACTAATAAAGGTTTCTATGTTTGTACTTCTAATATGCTTAGAGGAAACGTGAGATCGTGTGACTTGCATCATATATGGAATGACACACAAAAGGAATGTGTACCTGAAGATACACCATTGTAACTATTGTTCTGTTTTTCTTGTTGTATAATATTGATGACTATGTAGATTTTTTCTTCGATTTGTTGTATAGTTAATCTAGAAAATTGTAGAAACAATAAATATATATATATAGATGAAAACAACTGCTAACTGGTGATTAACAGGTGTAAACTGATCAAAATAAAATATGAATGATGAACTTCATTGATGGCTATTACTAGTAATAGTTAAGAGATTTAGTTGAGACATTTTTTTGAATATTTTGTGAAGTGTTGTTATAGTTTTAGTATTGATAATAGAAAATAGCTGAATTCAGATTTCTTTTTTCAATGAGAAATGGAGAATAAATAAACAAAGTTTTAGATTTTGTTTTAATTTATAAAAGACTAATGTAATAAAAAAATCGGTGTAATCAAAAACTTGGAAATAAAAATAACAAGATGAGTTGAAGTCATTAGTTTTTGTAATATTTATAACAGATTTATTCCCTAAATTTACGAATCGTTTTTTTTCCATAATTAGACTCATTTGTTTATATATTGACTCGATAGACTTTGTTGATTTATAGTTGTTAAAAAGTTAAAAAAAGCAACTGTTTTCTCATATTTTCGATTGAATCCTAGTCAAGTGTTAGCTAAAATTTCTATAAACTATGCATATTTCATTTAATAACAATGATAGTCACAATTTGTGAATTAACTAAATAACTAGACGAGTTTCTACTAGTGAACTCTATAGTATTTTTAATTTCGTTCACTTATTCATAACGAATGACTATCTTTTTTTGTCCATGGATACAGGACACTTACTAACAAATAAAAAAAACTGATAACACAGTATTACATATTTTATCAAGTTTTTTTTATTCATTTATTCATTGATCAGCATCAATAAAACATAATTGTTATTTGTAATAATCAGTATCACACAAAATCTTAGGAACTGTTGTATCAAACTTGAACTATATTATCGTACACAACATAGGCTAGCCAGTCATTATGAACAAAAATGTTCAAGCAAATTATTCTGTTATCATCAATTTAGTATAATAATCCAGCAGATCATTATATAGAATGTGGTTGAAACTACAGCTGTTACAATTGTACAATACATAGAAGCATCTTTTTACATCGTTTCTGCTCTTTTACAGCTTATCTGGGTCGATGCAAGTATCTTCTAAACAAATGAAAACTACCAGAATATTTCAAGATACAAATATATTGATGATTAATATTAATCTTTTTTCAACAATAGTTATCAAATAATCACTTTTGATGTGTTTATATCTGAAAATTTTAGTAGAATTAAAATTAATAACCATAAATCTGATCAAAATAAAACAAAAAGCCTCTTCTCTTTCTTTTCTTAAACTTAATTTATTTTTATACTGATTTACCAATATCATTTGTTTAGATTATGAAAAGTATATCGGTCAATAATTTTAAGTCAATATGTAAATCTATAAGAATTATTAGTATTTCATGAGAAATGCACAAGAATTTGAAATTATTCGCATGGAAGAAATCATAATCGTCATTTAGTTCTTTTACATATTCAATAAAGAGATAACATTATTTTCTCATACAATAGTTTTCCATTAAACTGTTTTTGTTTTAATAACACTGAAATAAATAAAAAGTAGTTGGTTATAAGATACAGTTAAAAATATTTTAAAATATCATTCAGATAAGTTATAAATAATATACAACTTAGTTTTTATTTGATGCTAATATTACTATTATATTATTTATTTAATAAAATTAAAGTTATAAATTATTAAAAAAAGACTGTAATGATATATTAGAAAAGTAAATTAAAGTCGCGCTCTGACAAATTATTTTTCATTTCCTTTAATAACATTTAAACGATAGAAAACTGAACAAAAATTTTCAACCAAGATTTTTGAATACAATGAAAATAAAACAATTCATCATTATCTTATTGTGGAGCATAAAATAAATTCATGATAATCATATCAACTAAATCGCCGAGAAACTTCGTGGAATACATATGTTGCGATCAGCACCCGCGCGAACGAAGGGATATACATTCTTTTAAAACCCGCTACACTTCCCCCTTAATCTCAGACCCTTCGTGCCAGCTCTGCATATATATTTCGAACTAATTTATCGTTTATTACACTTTGTATTATAACAGAATATAATTTCAATATGTAACGTACTCAAAGAAATAAATTTCGTTATCACTACCTATGAATTATATAGATTAGATCAACAGATATTTTATCCGAGAATTAAAATAATCATGAATAGTATTCTATTTTGAAATCAAATAACGTTTTTTGTTTATTCATCGTAAAATAAATGAGTTAACAAAAACATAGGTGATTCATATAGTATACAGAAAAAAAACATCGTTCTGTTTCTTGTTTTTTTTTGTCAAGCCACGAGTTTATTTTTATAACAGAACACGTTAGTAATCAATCTTTCGCAATCAAAACGTACCACTGACTATATAAATATGTGCTCACAAATCGTGTATAAGCATTTTTTCTAGATTTTATTGAATTATTGTATTCAATGACTACTATCAATAACAACACTCCAGCGCATGCATCACATGCTTATTTATTCAAAAATGGTTATGGAATGATTGTTAAAACATTTGGATTTCCCTCAAACAACAAAACAAATGGTCAATGTATCGAATTAATGGACCCACCATCAAATCCAACACATGGAACATTTTGGATACAGTCATTATCCAATAAAAGTATGTTATTTTATCAGGAACATTTTAATATCCAATAATATTTATGTATTTAGCTTCCATTACTTCTGTTCGTACAAAAAAAACAAGAAAAATTATTGACAAAGAATGTTTTAGTGTGGAAGATTTAGTTGAAGCTAATGTAGGAGAAAATGTTGAAATTCTTATTAGCGATGATGTACGTCAAACCAAAGAATGGATAACGGGTAAAATAAAATCGGTTAAACGATTTCAACAATCATCTGGCGATGAAGATACAGATGGTGCATTACAATGTGAGTTGTAATTTTTAAAATATAGAAAAATCTTCGTAAGATAAGAAAACTTTTGAGGGTTTTTCTCGTTTCGATAATTTTATTCGATAAATATAAATAATCACTGATAAAATTAATATAATAGATAAATTATAGTATATTATTATCTTTATAAATCAAATTGTAATCGAGTTTTTTGTTATATTTTTATTGTTAGGTTGTCATACTGATCCCAGCATACCATCATCAAGTAACTTACATTCGTCTCATAATCAATCCGGTAGTCTCGTTCTATTTGAAACGGTTGATAACGGTTTGTTAGGATTAACTCTAGCAAGTATTAAATTAATTCGTGGTGCAACATTGAAGACAACATACCCACACAGAGTCTTCAAAAATTGTTTATCAATTGATTATAAAAATGATTCTGGTTCTAATGATACAGGCTTAATGAAATATCTTACATATGGTATTACATGGGCACCTTCATACAAGTAAAAACAAAATTATAATTATAAATTTATAACTTATCAATATATTTCTTTATTTTAGTTTAGTACTTTTAAATTCAAATGATCCTTCTATAAAAAGATTACGTCTTTCATCAAAAGCTGTGATTCTAAATGATATTGAAAATATGACTGTTGATAATCTATTTTGTATTGTTGGATTTCCAAATATATCAAAATTTGCTTCAGTTATTGATCCAATAATTAGTGGAGATGATGTGAAAACCTTTCTTAATAGTCTACAACAATCTGAAGCAACATCCGGCACAGGACAATCTCATAGTATGTTGAATTCAGTAATGTCACAGCCTACATATACCCCACAGATGGCACAGCTTCTATTTGCCCCACAGATGCCAACTAATATTTCTATTCCGGATGATACTTTACAAGACGTGAATGTTGATGATCTTCATTTATATGAATTTAAAAATATTTTATTACAAAAAAAAGAACGTTTGATGTTACCAATCTTTGACATAGAAATACCTTATAAAGATGTTTATCATTGTAAAATTAATTTATTACAGTCTGCATATATTCAGTTAGGATCTAGTGAAAAAAAAACATTCGAAGAAGTAGGAATTTAATATAAGATTTTTATTTATTATGAAAAATATTTGTTTTTTAGGTATGGCATAGCGTTGAATTTGAAAACATAACAAATTTTGTTTTAACAACAGCTCCAATTGTAGTAACAAAAGGTGAACAAGAACAACAATTTATCGGTCAAGATACATTAACATATACATCAAAAGGATTAACAGCTTTTGTTAATTTAACAAAAGCACTCGATGTTCAAATACAAGCAGAAGAAAACGTATTGAGTACAAATCCAAAACGATTTAAAATCGGACGTACTAGTTTCCAAACAGATAATATCGAAGGAAAGATATCAGTTGTCAATCGTAAAACAGAAACAATAGTAGTTGTTATTAATGTAGCATTATCGGGAAAAATAACTAAACATTCAGTCGAACCAAAAAAAGATGTGATTAAAACTCATCAACATTTTACTAATGAACAACATGATATACGATGGGAAGTCACTGTTGAACCTAAACAAACGCTAGATATTACATATGATAAAATTTATAATAAATACGTGTAAAGTTTTGTGTAATTTTAATAAACTGAAATAAATAATATTCTCCTTCTTGCGATCACGAGAAGTAGAAGTATAGTTACTAGATCGATATTCATATATGTAGTTAGTTATAACAGGAGGTAAGAAGAAAAACAGATTATATTTCGTAATTACATTCTAAAGACTTTTTTTGAACATTTCAATCAATTTTTTGATTCATATTACTGTTTTGTATCTATTGATCTTATTTAAATAAAATATCTGTACTTATATAACAGATACTCCACTTTCGCCTTCACCCATACTATATTACATTGCTTTCTGACAGTGTGAAATATCAGTTAAAGGATTACCGATATAAATATATCTTTAATTAGTTTATATTAACATGGAGGATAATATAATTCAAAAGTTTTTATAAGTTAAAGTGACGTATATGTAAAAATTTTGTATAAAAATAAAGTGCAATTACTTTTGCTGTTAACATATCGTTGATAAATCAGTATATAGCGCCCTCTGTTGATGTCTTTTATTCGATAAATATAAAAAACAAAAAATCGTAAATGTACTCGTAATGCATGTCATATTCACATTTAAATAAAATTCAGTTTGATATCAATATTCAACAAAATAATCTCGCTTTGTCTAATTGAAATATTGACCGATGACTCATTAGCTGTTGAAGATTGTCTATTAATATGTATTATCATTTAAAATATTCTTATTTATAATCAATTTATTTCGAGTTTTGATTTTCTTTTTGCAGATTTTTTTTCTAAATTAAAATTAATAGAAATGGCTGGTGAATACGATACAGCTATTACAGTCTTTTCTCCTGATGGTCGTCTCTTTCAAGTTGAATATGCACAAGAAGCCGTAAAGAAAGGATCAACTGCTGTTGGTGTACGTGGTAAAAATATTGTTGTTCTAGGAGTTGAAAAGAAAGCTGTAGCTGTTCTACAAGAAGATCGGTAAGATATATCTTTTTTTTCTTCATATTTTATTTAAAACTTTTTCTTCTTTATTTTAGTACGGTTCGCAAGATTTGTATTCTTGATGATCATGTTGCTATGGCATTTGCTGGTCTAACCGCTGATGCTCGTGTTTTAATGCATCGTGCTCGTATTGAATGTCAATCTCATCGACTTAATGTTGAAGATCCTGTCACAATCGAATATATAACTCGATATATTGCTGATTTACAACAAAAATATACTCAAGGACGTGGTCGTCGTCCATTTGGTTTATCAACATTAATTGTTGGTTTTGATTATGATGGTTCACCACGTCTCTATTCAACAGATCCAAGTGGTACCTATCATGAATGGAAAGCAAATGCCATTGGTCGACAAGCAAAAACTGTTCGGGAATATTTAGAAAAATCATATACAGAAACAACTTATGAATCTAATCATGAATCCATTAAATTATGTATTCGAGCATTACTTGAAGTTGTACAAAGCGGTTCAAAAAATGTTGAAATTGCTGTTATGTTACGACATAAACAATTAAAAACGCTTAGCGCTGATGAAGTCGAAAAATATATAGCTGAAATTGAAAAAGAAAATGAAATTGAAGCAGAAAAGAAAAAACAAGCAAAACAAATTGGTAGTTCAACTACTACAACTGCATCATCAACATTAACAACTCAAACATCCAAAAAGGAATAAAAAGAGATTTGATATCTCGGTGAACAAAATTTTCTTTTTTTTCTTAAACGCCTTTTTATTATTATTGTTAATTCTATTGTTCCGTTTTTCCTATTATATCAATTCATACAAACAAGAGACATTTGATGTTTGAGTAAAACTTCTTCATTTCTAGATTATTTATACTATTGTCATTCTTTCATCGAAATAGTACTTAAAAAGAATCAAGTAGGTTAAAGAAATATATTATTTCTTTTTTGTGTCCTCAAAGAGTGAGTACACTACTAGAATTGGTCAGTGTGTCCGTCCGTCCGTTTACACGATAACCTTCGAAAGAAGAGGCATATTTTAATGAAACGTTCTACACAATTCAGTCTCATCAGGATCTCGGTCGAGTTCGTAGATGAGCCTAATTGGCCGGGCCATTCCCGAGTTATTGCAGAAATACTAATATTTCCCTATGATTTCCATATGCACTTTTTGCAGTACACATAACTCCCGGATAAAATCCGAAGTTTCCACATTTATTTTTAAATAGAAATTTAGCATTTATACTGATAATTAGAAAGAAGAATGAAAATGCATCTAAAAAAGAAATTATTTTTATGTAGTCTGGAATATATTTCAGTTCTAGTTTTAAAGCAACTCGTTACAGACTCGAAATTGATAGACGCTCATTATAAAAGGAGGAGTTTGGCGGATAAAAATTCTATTTATAAGATGTCTATCAATTACATAGTACTTTACCTTGAATAATGCGCCTTTGATCGTGCTTCTGTTGAATGTACCTGTCATAAATCTTCCTCGAACCCATCTTTCAACATTAATTATTACATTATAAAAGTCTCTTGAATATACCTTATTCATTAATCGCTGATTGTATGTTTGCGTTCATTTGTCCAGTATGCCAGAAACTTATCCAATGATGATTGTGATCCTTTCATTGATTCTATGCTCCTTCATATAGTTGTTACTCAAATGATATGATTTAGCTATATTGATTAGTTATCCCTATCAAATCGTTACTGTCGATGAGCATACTATAGTATTCATCGAACACTGAATACAATCGAAACATGAAAGCTAGCCATAAAAAAGTCTTATCATGCTTCTTATTAATTATTTCGAATATTTTTATTCGCAAAATATTGAGGTTATATTTATAGGACGGAAAATAAAACGAATCTCGATTGATTTATATTATTTGCAGTGATTTTCTGTTATATTTTTTAGTTTGTAAGCAAAAGAAAAAAATGCATTATAGGTTTATTGTAGATGTTTTACTTAGGATAAATAATGGATGATGTAATTAATCTTATTAATCATTTAATAAATGCTAAATATTCAATTGATGCATTAGAATCTATTAGTAATCAATTAAATATTTCTCAAGAACAAATTCATAGAATATTAAGAGCTGATCGTTATAAAGATTATTTTCAATTAATTAGAAAAAATCCAAATCAAGGAACAGATAAAATCGCTCTCACACTTGATGTAAGTGTTTAGATAAAACCATGAAATATATGAATTATTTTAATTATTTAGCTTTTTTGTTGTACACATTATGCTCAATTATGTAAAAAACAATCATGTCCATTTTTACATCTATGTCCCTACAATATAAGACCAATGCATGGCAAATGTACAAATAAAAATTGTCCATATGATCATGAAGTTTTAAAAAGTGCTCATAATAAAAAATTAATTAATACTCGTGGTTTATCATTTCTATCAGATAGTATTTTATTGGAATTAGCCCGAGCTAGTGCTGATCCAAATCGATCAGTAAGCAAAAAAAAATACTAATAACATTTCTATATTTTCATAATCTAGTTTTGGGTATGTACGGATAATGGAAAGAAAGGTGGTTGTCAGAAAAAAACATGTTGTGATAAATTACATTATTGTTATTTTTCTTTAATTAATGCTTGTACGAAAACATATTGTCCACATATTATAAATGAAGCTTGTATCGCATATTTTCGACATAAAGATTTATCTGAACAAGATCAGCATGATATATTAGAAGCATTTCAGAAAGTTCTTAAACAACGGTTAGTTATTTTATACTATTCAATATTTTCATAAAATAAAATCATATTTATAGAAAACCTGATTTTATTAATACAGTCAATATACCACCACATCCATCTTGGGCTTTATCGATATCATCAGATGAAAAGTCGTTGCCTTTGAATGATAATATAAGGTAAGAATATGAAAGTTATAAAAGTAAACGTAACTTTGTCTGTTTATGATTATTCTTTAGTGAATCAACTATCATCGATCAGCAACCTGCAGGTCTATCTTCAATTCGTTCAATTTTATCAGCAACAGCACCTGAATATAAGGCTAAGACTGTATATAAATCTGATATTTCACCACCATTACCAGAACATGAACAAGATATTCTTCTTATTGATACATCTGATGAATCTGAATGTAGTGAAATTGAACTTCATTTAACACAGGAAATTGGTTATTCAATTCGATTATCAATCTCAAAAACAATTATTTGTGGATATAAAAATGCTCAATAGTATTTTTTGAATCACTTTTCTTTTCTCTATTCAAATAACAACTGTTATGGTTCCTTTTAGTTTTGATAATCAGATCGAACCTGTGTATTATTACTGTCCAACAGAAAATCTCAAAGATACATGGAGATTACTTCGATGTCAAAATGACCAAAATCAATTGATTAAACCATTAATTATCTATTCAAATATACGTGATGCACATGAAGCAACTGAACTTAATATTGAAACTAATCAATTTTGTCTTTTACGTTTACTTGTTTTTCAATCAAATCTTATTCAAGAAAATTGCCTTGAAATTTATGATCCAACAACAATATGTTTTGATCGAATGTGGATTTATGTATACAGTGATGAAGGAACTTTCTAAATATCAGCAATAAACATTTTCAAAAATTGTGATAGATTTTATTTACGAATAGATAAACAAACTAAACATGAACAGTTTTCTATTATTAATCTTGTATACATACCACTTTTTATCTCATCTGTCTTTTTTCTTTTGTATATGTATATTGTTTATTTTTGTCATTGCATATGAATAACAGTTTGCAAGACCTATATATTTTTTTTTGAACGAGAAAAAAAGAGAGCTAATGGATAACATATTTACAATAGTTAATAAACGTTTTTATCCATTATTGAATAATTACATATCGGAAATGTAAGAATTTATAAATGAACGAGTTTTGTTGGTAATATAAGATTGTCTAAATATATATAAATGGCAGTAGTGGATCTAGGATTTTGAAAGGGGGGACGGGGGTGATTTTTGTTTTTTGAGTATGGAGGGGCGATACCTGGGGGGGGCGGTTTTGACTAAAAGCTATTTTTAGAGTCCAATCGAAGTAGTGTGAACCTATTTTTTCGTTCATTTTTGCTGTAAAAAATCAAAAAAAAATTCGGAACGGGGGGGGGGGGGGCGATCGTCCCCTCCCCTAAATCCGCCACTGATATATGGATTTATTTTAAGTAAGAATGATTCATTTTTCTTATGTAAACATCATAACATAGTATTTCTATTTTACATAATTCATTTTTGTGTCATATTCCTTCAGCAACATCAATTACGTCGTTCTATTTATATATAAAACTCTAGTATTTACTATGAAATAATTTTCTTTTAAGAACTCTAGTTTCTTTAATAATAGGAAATAAGACTGTAATTCTTTTATCATCACGTTATTTGATATAATTGAGTTGTTAATATTTCTATTAACTACGTCATCATAATTCTATGGAAACAAGCGCCCTCTAGATAGAAAAACATGAAAAAAAATTTCGTAATTTATCATTACTAATCTATTCATCTGAACAGAATCATTACGTATGACATAAATTTATTTTTTAAAACATTTTAAAACTCTATTCTAATCTTTCATTATTATTTAAACCAATAGGAATAATTCGAAAAAAAATATACCTAATTTTTTTTTATTCTCTTCGCTATAAATCGACGAGTGTGTGAGTGTGTACAAATCATTGATATTTTAATAAACATCTTTTGTTAGTTGATTCAATTTACATAACATTCCTTATGGATTCATCAAATGAAAATTCAACACCATTGGTAAGAATTTTTGACACAATATTTTTTGCGTAAAAGAAAATACGCAAAATCTTCTTTTAGGGCAATGGTATTACACCAGAAATGAGTGAAGAAGCGAAATTAAAAGCTAAATATGGTGGTGCACTTCCGCGACAACAAAAATTATTAACAAAAAAATTAATGACTAAAGTAAGTACTTGATTTGACATAAATCTTTAATTAATTTTTTTGTTTTTATCTAGCCAAAATATTTCGATTCTGGTGATTATAATGTTGCTAAAGCTCAAGGTAAATTAGATGCAAGTAAACCTGATTCAACAACAAAATTCACTAATGATAAAGAAGCACCAACACTAATTGTACCTGAAACAGTAACTGGACATGAAATTCCAACACCTGAAACCGTTATGCCAAGAAAATTATCGTGTGCAGCATCAATGACACCAACATCAGCACAATAAAAATAAATCTTTTAACGAACAAAATAAAAACATTATTATATATTCTTCTTCGTCTTCTTGTAGTCTTCTTTCATTCGATTTATTTTTTCATATGACTATCAGCCTTTTTTTTCTTTTTTCTGTACATATGTGAGAGTATTTTCAAAAAGACACGCGCACACGTACACAGGTTTTTCTTTGTCTTTCTAGAAGAAGAACATTTATTGTTATTGTTATCATCATGGGAAAATTTGATGTTTCACTTATTCGATATTTAACTTCTGAAGATTATCGAGTTTTAACAGCAGTAAGTTTTCATATATTTATGATGAATTAAATATTTATAGAAATTTTATTTTCTATAATATGAATTTTTTTGCATACAAATTTTAACATATTCCCTAGGGACATTAACATTTTCATTGATGTTTTTTTATAAATATATTCTAAGTCAATAGTAATATATTTTGTATAATCTTTCTTCCTCAACAATATTGACGTGAAAAGATTTCAAAGGTAAAAATATGTTGTTATGAACATAATCCACGTTTAATAAGAGGATTTAATAAAATATAACATTAATATATATGAGTGCGCTTAGTAATGATATATATATTTGATTATTTCGATATTATAAAATATCTAAAAATAGAATTGATTTTATTTTCGTCGAAAATTAAAGTTAACTAATTGATATTCCTATATTTTCGCAAGAAATATGATTTTGTATAATACTAATTGACTAATGTAAGGAGATAATATTCATGACATTTTATTCAATTAATAGAAATGAGTTTTTATTTTTGTTACTTCGTTGTAATTGTATTAAATATAAAATACTATTAATAGTGACATATAAATGAGAATTGAAAGTGACATTATTGACATAAGACTGATAATATCAGCACTTCAACCAAAATCATTGAATATATAATGATTTCACAGATGTTTTGGTAATAAATAATACGAGTATATATTTAGTAAACAAACAATTTTTATGAATATAGTTTATTTATATCTTGCATAAAACAGAGCAATGTCTACAAGAAAAATTTCGTTCATATATTAATACATTATAATCAAAGCTAATTAAAAGTACTATGTTAATAATGACTAGTTTTATTCATATATATAATTGTGGAATAAATTTTTTCGTGTTCTTTGATACTATTGGAAAACAATCGTTACCGAAATTTGAACATTCATTCGACTAATAAGACTTTATCTGTTACACCAAATATCGACATTTTTCCATTAGACAGAAAATGATTCGATAGTTAATCGTGATAGAACCTAATGAGATTCAATCATTATCAGTGTTGCCAACTCTTCCGGGTTCGGGATTTTAGATTATTTCTATCGAACTAAATTATATTTATCTGTTAATACTCAAAAAAAAGTTTTTTATTTGACGGCGGCTCAGTGGCTTATACTTATATATTTAATTTATTATATCTCGAATTTTGATGTTGATTTTCTTTTGATATATTGAAATATGTGTTTTTTGAAATAATAAGTGGTATAATTGAGAACAGGATTTAGAGAAATTTATTTTAACCGGCAGAAATTATCTGTTAAAAACCTTTCCCGATTTAACAAAAAAAAGTTTCCGGATTTTCCGACTATGACAGTTGGCATCACTGATCATCATGAATTCTCTGAAATAAGAATGACATAATTTCGTTCAAAAGCAAATATATATCCCAAATCGAAAATATCTATTTATTTCTGAATTTAGATTGAAATGGGTATGCGTAATCATGAATTAGTTCCATTACAATTATTAGCTGTAATTGCATCACTTAAACATGGTGGTTGTCATAAAATTTTACGTGAATTAGTACGTTATAAATTAGTTGCATATGACGCTACAGCTAGAAGAAAATCTAATAATAATGAAGGTTATCGTTTAACAAATCTTGGTTATGATTACTTAGCATTAAAAGCACTTGCTGCAAGAGATGTTATTAATTCAGTTGGAAATCAAATTGGTGTTGGAAAAGAATCAGGTATAAAGAAAATCAAAACAAAAAATGATATTAAATTTACTTTTTTTTCCCTAATTATATAGTTTTTATTTAGATGTTTATATTGTTGCAAATGAAAATGATGAACAAATGATTTTAAAATTACATCGGTAAAGAAAAGACATAATATATATATATATCTATTTATTTTCTTGTTTTAATTTAGTTTAGGGCGAACATGCTTTCGACAATTAAAAAATAAACGTGATTATCTTAAACACAGACAAAGTTTTAGTTGGTTATATCTTGCAAGACTTGCAGCAATGAAAGAATTTGCTTTTATGAAGGTACAACTCTTTTTTTTTTGAAATGCAGTAAAACATCTCGAGATTGATTACTAACGAGAAACACTCTAAAACCTTTTTATTACACAAATTGAAGTCTTACATGTATACGGTGGAACATCTTTCATAATGAAAAGTTATAGTAGTATTTTTTTTATCTATTGCATACATTTCCGTTGCTTGGAGAGTGTTTCTTTGATAACTTATAATCATGAATGGAAATGTGAATTGTTTTTTTCCCATCTGATTAATCAACACTTCTTTTATTTCATAAATATATGTATATTTACAGTAAAAACAACAATTGAAAGGATTGAGACATGTATTAATTAATAAAAATCTATCTGTTTGTTATTTCTTAAGACTCTTTATGAACATAAATTTCCTGTTCCAAAACCAATTGATTGCAATCGACATTGTGTTGTCATGCAATTGATCGATGGCTATCCTTTGTTAGTATTTATTCCTTTAGTTAGTTTTTATTTTAAACGATTTTCTTTCTATATTAGATGTAGTATTAAAGATATTGATGAGCCAGGAAAAATTTATGATGAATTAATGTCAATTATCATTCGTCTTGCATCCTATGGACTTATTCATTCAGATTTTAATGAATTTAACTTAATGGTATCAGATAGTGGTCTTATAACCATGATTGATTTTCCACAAATGGTTTCAACATCACATTTAAATGCTGAATATTATTTTGATCGTGATGTTCAATGTATTCGAGATTTTTTTCGACGTCGATTTCAATTTGAAACTGATATTTACCCAAAATTTGCTGATATTAAGTAGGAGTTTGATCTATTGAATTAATTTAATATTGAAAAAACTTCTTTTTATTCATTTAGACGTTTACATTCATTAGATAATGATGTTAGAGCAAGTGGATTTTCAAAAGAATTAGAACGACAATTTGAAGAAGTAAGATTTAATTAGATATTGATCAATTAATACAACTTAGGATCGATTGAGTAAAATATCGTATCTTGTTGACATTTAATAGACTTTTAAGAGAAGAGATCATCAAACATAATAAGATTTAAGTGATAGACTCAACTGTTTTGAATAAATGTAAAATTCAACGTGTAATTTGATTTTGTATTTTCTTACATCTAATATTTGCTGTTTAAATTTATACATGCTACATTATTTAGGTATCGGATACAATTGGTCTAAGACAAGATGTTGAAAATCCCGACCATTCATTTGAAGAAGAAGATGAAGATGACGAGGATAATGATGATGAAGAAGAAGAAGAAGAAGAAGAAGAAGAAAAAGTGGAAGCAGAAGTAGATGAAAAGTCGAAATTACCATCTTTGAAAAATGATGTAATTACTAAATTAGCAAAAATCATCGATACTAATGATCTGTTATCATCTCCTGCCGTTGATGAATTCGGTGAAAATAAAAATTTTCTATTTAAACCATTTCACGATAAAAATGAAGATGAAGAAGAAAATGATGATAATGATGACACAAAATCAACTGTATCAACCTCACATAAATTATCTACATTAACGATAGATAAAGATTATGTACGAGCAAAAGTAAAACAATCATTAAAGAAGAAATTAAAACAACAACATCATCGTTTATGTAGTAAAGGTGAAGCAGCCTTAGTTACTGCACAACGACGTGATCAACGAGACACAATTCAATTACATCTTGAATAATAGAAAATGTTGTTTTTAATAAAAATAAATTAAAAAAAATCTTTCAAATTTCTTTTTACCCATTACAATAATTTCTAAACTAGAAAAAAGAGAAAAATACAATAATTCATGTATATTAAAAAAACGATACTGATTGACAGAAAACAAAAAAAAGAAACGAACTAGTATTCGTTTCTTATTACAAATGTCCTTCAGAATATTATTTTCAATCAATTATTACATTCTGAATTTAAGCACTTGGTGAATTTGATTAGAAGTTATATATACTGATCGTCTTGTTCTAATGACTACTATTAGATTTTGACAACATATGTTAAGATATAACTTTTTCTTACTCATATGGTCAAGAAAGATGCATATTGTATATACAATCGTCGCTAGTGTACATTAAAGTAAAACAAAGGACATCTAGATTAATTCTATTTAGATTTTATACTTCACCTTTAAAAGAGGCACATAGAAGAAAATCGTTAGTTAAACACTATTCCTGTTTTCTTATTACATCAGATAAATGTTTTTTTAAACCAAAAAGAAAAGAACGAAAAAGAAAAAAAATGCATAAATTGACGACGATGATAAACATATATACCTGTAACATTATTATCATATCAACATAAAAATAATCACGTGATGATTGGAGTTTTTACTTTAATAATACTCATTGTCATTATATATGCATTGAGTTATTATCTTTATAAAAATTATTTTTATTTTCCACCCATTGAACATGAACAATTAAGAAATAAACGTGTAATTATTACTGGAGCATCTCGTGGTATAGGTGAACAATTAGCATATGAATATTCCCGTTATAATTGTCGTTTAATATTAGCTGCTCGTAGTATTGATGTATTAAAAAATAAAATTGCTATTAATTGTCGAAATTTTGGTGCCACACAAGTTGAATGTATTGAATTTGATGCATCAAAAGAACAAGCATGTATTGAACTAATTGAAAAAACTGTTGAATATTATCAAGGTATTGATATCCTTGTACTTAATCATACGGCATCTGTTTATGCACCATTTTTTCAAAATGACATTCCAACAAATATAACAAATATGAAAAAACTTATGGATACAAATTTTTTCGGGTATTTTCAAACAAGTAAGAAAAAAATATTTAATTAATAATAAAATTTTTATTTTCTTTTTTTTTCATTTTAAGCAATGTCAGCTCTTCCTCATTTAAGTGAAAGTGGAACAGATAAACAACCATCTCAAATTATTGCTATTTCTTCATTAGCTGGTACTTGTCCATTACCACAAACAACGATTTATGGTAAATTTAAAAAAATGTGTTTTTCAATTTATTTATTTATTTCGATTTTTAGGTACAACGAAACATGCTATTCAAGGTTTCTTTTTAAATCTTGCTCGAGAACTTCGTATATCATCATTATATAAAAATCGTGTTACATCAACTGTAGCTATACTTGGATTAATTGCTACTGATCAAGCACTTGGAGTAACAAATAAAAATCTTCATATACTTTCTGCTGATGTACGTAAAACAGCTCAAGCAATTATAGTTGCTGGAATTTATGGACAAAGTTATTTATTTTATCCATATCTTTTTGGACTTATTCCACCACTTTATTATATTTTGACACCTATATTTAATTATTTAGCATGTTTAGAGCATTAATTATCGAAATTTATTAAAAGAATAAAATTATAAAAAAAAATGCACTCCGAAAAAGACACACACACGCGCGCGCTTCATTGATAATGTTCTAATTATCTAATACGAGATTTATCATTCACAATAAAGATATTTTTTGCTGAACCAACAATCATATTCGGACGACTGACATCTGTATCAGCACAATAAACTGCATTTTCAAGATCTGTTATACCACCAACCATCTAGTTTTAAAAAAGAATTATAAGAAATTTTCAATTCTGTTGTAATTCTCTTACTTGTAAGATTGTATAATCATAAATAATAGCTTCATTTTTATCATTACCAGCACATAGAATATAATCTTTTGGACAATATTTCGTTGCATAAAGCTAATAAGAATAATTCGAAAAAATTTCTTTACGTTTTTTTAATCTTACCATTGATGTTGCATTGTGTGGAAAAGCATCTTTAATTAATTGGCCTGTTGGAAAATCCCAAATCTATTTTTAATATTTAACTGTAAATATGAATTTTTCCTTTTTTCTTTTATTCATATTTTCTTCATACCTGTAATGTAGAATTTTTTCTCCATGAACCTGTTAATATAACTTGATGTTCAGCTATAATATCTAATGAATCACCACATAAATGTGGACCAGCAAAATGTTTTTGTGAATGTGTTGTACGTTCATCCCAATAATGAACAGTTTCATCCCAACCACCTGTAAGAAAAATTGTTTCCATTGTTGGATGTGCACGAATAGCATGTATTCGATTTTTATGACCATCCATACGTTCTCGACTCTCTCTAAAAATACAATTTATGAAATAAATCAATTTTCATAAACACTTACGAAGCTCTTAAATTACTAACTAATTTTTTCGTTTGAAAATCATAACAATTTATTTTACAATCGCTACCTAAATCATAAGACGAAATAAATGAGAGGATTTTTTAAATTTGATTTTACCAGCAACATATAAACGTGTATGATTAGAATTAAAATCAAGTGCTAAAGGTTGACGATCTTTTTCATCAAATGTATAAACACATTGTTGAGTTGGATAATGCCAAACTTTAACATAACCAGCAGTATCTAAATATGAGAAATGAATATGGGTAAAAAAAGATTATTTATACATACAAGTAGCAGCTATCATTTTTTGATGGTCAGATTTTAAATCTTCTTTATTTGCATAGAATTTCAAACATGTTACTGGATAACCTATTAATATAATCAAATTTGATTAGAAATGTTGAAAAGATTTCATAATATATTTACGTCGTGTTTTTGTATCATTATCAGCAAGTGCATATTGAAATTGACCTGTTTTCGAATAGACCTATTAAAATGTAATTAGAAGTTATTTTTAGAAATGAATCTTTCCAAAAATAAAATCTATTAAAAGAATTCTTTAGATATTTTTACTGTAAGTTTTCTATTTGCACTCTCAAACGTCGACGTCAACATTCTAGTCATAAAAATGTACTAATCATTATTATAGACTCAAGTGAAAATAGATGCATATTATTTTTAATATTAAGACTGAATTGCTCTTGTTGTAACACCTATAGTTTATTTAATTAACACGATGACAAAATTAAAACTTCAATACTTACTTTAATTGTACCATTGCCTAAACCAACAGCAAATACATCTCCTAATGGACTATATTTGCAGCAAAGTACATATTCTTCACAATCACTAGAATTATATACAAAATCCTTTGTTTTTCATATGATGTATATTAAGGTTTTATGCTTACACAACATTAGCCAACTCAAAATCACCTAATATTAAATGTTTGGGACGTGTATCAACTACTTTAGACATTCGACGTGGACGTGGTACTGTTGTCCCCGTAGAATCAGCATTCGTTGATGAGATTGAGGGACGTCGTCCACCTAATTAAGATTTCAAATAGTAATTAATATTAATTAAACATTATAAACATACCAGCTGGTTTATCATTATTAGATCCTGTGATTGAAGGACGTCGTCCGCCTAATCAAGATTTTAAATCATTATTACTGGTAAGTAATAAAAATTAAAAAGAAAAGAAAAGTGCAACACACCAGCTAGTTTATTATTGTCAGTCGCTGTAATCGAGGGACGTCGTCCATCTAATCAAGGTTTTACATAATCATTATTACAACTATTATATTGTTAAAAATGAAATACAAACGCACCAACTGATTTCGCAGGTGTTGTCATTGTTTTTTTCTCACTTTCTTTCAAAATGAAATATAGAATTGTAACTAATCAATCACACAATCATATTTCAACTTTCTACTCTTTGTTGTTAGAAGAACAAATAAAACTGAATGATTGACTTGACTGTATGGAAGAAAGGTGTTGCAAAAAAAACTATGAGAACGAACAAAGAAAAGAAAAATGAAGATCATCAAAACCGTATGACGATTGAGTGAGAAAAAAAAGAAGAAAAAAAGAAATTTTTGATATAAATAAAATTAGACGATGGACGTAATGTGTGCCAATGTCTTTTTCTCTCTCTCTCTCTTTTTCTTATAATTTTGTCTATGTTGGAATAGTTTTGTCAATACATATTACTGTGAAAAAAATGTATTCTTTCTTTTTTCATCAACAAAGTTTACTATAGCAATTGTATGATATAATTTCAAACGTGCAAATTTATTTTAACAAGAAAGCCTTGAATATGTATGCATTCATATATTTGTTTAACTTACTGAGTAGTGATTCAACAAATTTTGTTCGTTCATCAGGTGATTGAATTTTAGAACTTATATAAGGTGTACCCATTTGAGGTTCGGGTTCTGAACCAGAATCTTCATATTCATCATCATCAAGATCACTTAAATCATTTTTATGTGAGATAAAATCACCCAATACATTATTATATGTAGACATTATTGTATCACAATTTTAAAGATGTAAAAATGACATCGCTCATTCTTTCTCCTATAATAATACATCATTTGTTCGTAGTCATGGTTCTATTAACCAATAAATATTTGTTGCAAGTCGGACGTGCTGCTGAATGGTCCATAAAAGAGAACAATCTCAGTAGGTTGCCATAGGTTATGATACCTGTGCTGCCCTCAGGACAGAGTTTATTTTTAAATGCTATTATGAACACTTTTACTTTCATATACTCGAAACAGAATAATAGATCGATTCTCATTCTATTACACTTATATAATTGGATTTCAATATATTTATTAGAAGCAAAAACATTATTATGTGAGATATTTATAATATACAATAACTATTCTAGGTGGATTCGTTTAAATATTAATAATGCATTAGAATGCCATCGAATTGACATACCCCAGATTCTACAATAGTAGAAAAATAGAGACTATATGTATCAGTCATAATATGCTTGATTTATTGTGAGAAAACAAAACATTATAACAAAATTTCGACAAAAAAAAACAACTATTTTAGTTTATTTTTCTTATTAGTATTATTAAATGTCATCGTTTTTGTTGTTTCCCGTTTTTTACTCGTTTTTTTATCATTATCATTAAATGTAGCTAATTGTTTTTCAAGTTTATCAACTGAACGTTGACTAAGTAAACCTTTTGCTATTAGTTGTTTGATCAGATCTTCAGTTTCATTAAATTCATGTCCACGTGTTTCAGCTTGAGTTTTTAATGCATTCAAATATGAATGTAAAACTTTATGTGTATTCATAGTCAATGGTATTGTTGATTTCTCTTGTGGTTTTTCAATTTTATTATCTGGTATAGATGTTGTTAATGTATTCGTTGTATCAATATCTAATTCTTCTTCTAATCCAATAATTGATCGTATTTGTGGTGCATTTGTTCTAGTACTACTATTCGTTGATTTTGTTTCTTCACTTATAGCTGCAACAACTTCTGCTGTTTTCTCTGTAGTCGATGTTGTTACAGCAACATCTTTTGCATCTTCAAGACGAGATGCTCGATGTATAAGTTTAACAATATTTTGTACACCAGCATGGATAATTTGATCAAGTTCAGCTTGTATACCACGAACTAATTCTTTATCAGGAAACATATCAGCAAAACGAAAACTGAAACAAAAAACCAAGAATTATTTCAATAGTATATTTATATAAATGTTTACCTTAGCCATAAATATAAATCTAAACAATCAAATACTTCTTCTAAATGTACTAAATCCATGATTGTATTTGGTATTTCAAATGGCCAGCTAATTTGTTTTGCAAGCCAATCAAATGTTGTTGGTTCACTTCGACTATATTGGCGAGCATACTAAAATAAATCGATTTTCATTAGGAGAAATAAAGGAGATTAATTAACTAAAAAGACCTTACTTTTAAAAACATAGTACAAACAAATGGCATTTTTTTGTTAATTGGTGCGCAAGAAAATGTATAACGAGCACGTAATGGTAATGGTACATGTTCAATAATATCTGCGAGAAATTTAACATCTTCAACATTACACATAAAAAATATACTATCATCTAATTGTGATAGAAGTACAAAGATATCCTAAATAGAGAAAATATTTGTATTAAGATTAAAAGTAATTTTGAAATTAAAAAATATACAATTAAACTTGAAAGTGAATGTTTAGGTAGATGATAGGCAAACATTTCAATTTGTTCAGCAGTTGGATGAAGTCCAGCACGCTAGAAAGAAGAAGAAATTAGTTTTTTTTGTTTTTGAAATTGAAATTTTGTACTTTGATTGTTTCGACTTGTCGACTAACAATTTCTTTTAATAATGGTAAATCATCACGTCGAAATGTGGTTACTTCACCATCCGGAAAAGCACTTGCAAATCTAAAATGAATATATATATTTCAATAATTTTTATTTAAATAAATTAACCTTCCAGCTCGACCAGCTATTTGTAAAGCTTGTGAAGTAGTTACAGCATCTTTTTCTTTTTCTCCTTGTTCATTTAACTGTGGTTTAACAAGACTATAGAATATAATACGTTTGATACTTCTACAATAGATAAAATCAATGAAAAAAAAGTTTTATTAAGAAAAAACATTATTAATTTACAAATTTAAACCCATGCCAATAGCATCGGTTGCTACCATAATTTTACATGAATCAGTTGGATCATTAAAACGTTGTGCTTGTAATAATTTCGTACCTAATCAAAAAATTACAATTGCTTATTATACAATAAAAATTAATAATTTTTGTTTTACCTGGTGGTAATGATCCATAAATAACAGCTACTTCATGACCACGTCTTTCTAATTCACGTGTTATATGAAATATATCATTTTTACTGAAGCATACAAAACAATCGCCAGGTTTGACATTATCAAATGTTTCTAAATGATTGCTAAAAAGCGTAAGTTAGTCAAAGTCGTTTGATTTTAATTAACACTAGATATAGTGTTAAGCAAATATTCTTATGAATCAAGATATGTTGAAATTACATCAAAGAAATTTCGCAATCTATGAAATCGTTACCTCATCCTATGTATTCTAAAGTATATGATTTTTACCTAATGCACGTTCTTGATAATTTAATTTTGTTAATCGTTTATATTCACGAACTTCTACATCGTCACCTGTTGTAACCATTAACTCTTGTATAAGTCTTATTGTCGAAGCTTCACCACATAGATGAATTTCTTTTGCTTGTATACCTGAACTAAAAATAATTAAAACTCTAGAAATAAAACAATGAATTGATTTTACCAAGTAATGCTCGTGTCCATGCCCAACCACGTTGTGGATCACGCATCATTTGAATTTCATCAATAACAGCGACATCATCTATAGAGAAGAGAAAAAAATAAGAAAACTAGTATTTATAAAATATTATTTAACTTACAGACAGTTGTTAGATTTGTCATTTCAACTGTACATGCTACATGATTAGCTGGTTTTCCTTCAGGATCAGCAAATCGTCGTTCTTCACCCGTTACTAAATCACATTTTGTACCCTTTTTTTTGTAAAAAAATAATTTTTAATATAAAAATTAACAAAAAATCTTTACCGCAGCATTTGTTTTATAAAATACTTCAGATGCTAATAATTTTAATGGTCCACAATAAACTCCACTGTCACTATTCATATAACTTTGAAGTGCATGATATGTCTAGTAAAAAGAAATAGATTGAATTTATCTACTAGAATTTATCACCTACTTTTCCACTATTTGTTGGACCGGCATGAAAAATAATTTTCCTTTGTATAGCTCGTGCATCTGGATACCTAAAGTAATATATTATATCTTACAGAAACTTTCTTTATAATTTCTTTAATATTTTACCAATTTGCTGGATCTCGAAGATCACTTATCTTTTTTAAATCTTCCATACATGATAAATGTGGAAACATTTCTCGTGCATGACGTAAAAAATAAGGAAATATATCAGTTACATGACCTTATGAAATATAAATTTTGATTATGAAATGAAGAAAAGAAAAATCCTATACCAGATCCAGATATAATATCACTTAATACAATATGTAAATCAACAGGTAAAACTGTTGATTGAATACAAAATTTTCTAAAACTAACATATGCATCTTGAAAAAGACGAATATCAAGTCCTTGATCAGCAGCCAATTTTTTAATTTCATCGCGACGATAAAAATCCGTTATAACACGAAGAAGTGCATCTTAATAGAAAGAAAAAGAAATAATAATCTTTTATTTTGAATGAATTGTTTTCATACTTCGTTCCAGCGTTTTACCGCCAGTTAATTCACGTCCAATATCTGCATCAGAATCTTTTGATGATGTTGAATCAAGTTTATCTGTAGTAATCAAAGGTTTAACATCTATCGGTTGAAAAAGTCGACGTAAAGTATTTGTTTGATTATTAGTTTTATTAGGATTTATTCGATGAGAAGCATGATGATGATGTGGTGAATTCGATGAAGTTCTATGTCGTTTATGTGTACTATAATTTAATATTGATGCTATTTTAAATGTATATCCAGAAAAATTTGATGAACGTAATAGTTGTTTATGTAGAGATAACATATTTGATAATCTAAAAATACATTTATTAATTAATAATCTGTTTAAGTAATAATTTAATACGTGATAGAACAATTTCATTTGTTCCTGAAATAGTCTCATTTGTATATGGAGCATTTATTTGAACAATACCATTTTGTATTAAAAGTGTTATAGAATTATTTTCTTCAAGTTTCTCTTTGAATGGTATTCGTTTAGATGAAAGAAATGTACGAATTTTTTCGAGACGATCCGAACTGGAATCATCTTGTTCATTTGATATTACATTCGATGATTGAAATGGATCTTTATATGTTTGAAGTGACGTATTTCGATCAAGAATTTTTAATTGAATAATATCAGGTCGAAGAACAATGTGAACACGATTTGATATATCATCAATCAGAACAATACTTAAATACAAAAAAGAATATATGTCAGATTTATATATTGATCTGAACTCAACAGCATAGATTTTAATTTAAATATGAAGCCAAATTTTTTGTCTTATTATCAGATCATGAAACTGTTTCTTAATCTTTTATCTAATACTAAGATATTATTCTCTTTCGAACCTTTGAGTCAATGGATCGACTGTATAAACTCTTCCTGAATAATTTCGTTGATCACTACATTCAATTTGAACTCGAACATTAATTAATGTTGCATACATATCAACATCAAAATCAAATACTTCATGTAATAAATCATCCATAAATATATATTTTTTTCTCTAGAAACAAACAAATAACAATGAATATTCTTTTGTATGTTTGATGTCAATCAGCATGTTTTTTTTTCTTTATTGTCGAAAGACTATAGATATATATCTCTCATCAGTAAAAACATGAAAGAGAGAATAAAAAAAAGACAGATATTCGTTTTTTAATGAATGATCAATGTTGTTGCTGAAAGACTTCGAAATAAATTTTAAGCTTTTTTGTTTGTTTTCTTTGATTTCGCAGATTTGCTTTTTGTTTTGTTGTCGGGTTCATCTTCGAAATCTTCATCACCATCATCTTCTACAGCTTCAACATTGTCAAGAGCTGATGCACCTTGTCCTGTTGTGCCTTTCTTCTTCTTCTTATTTTTCTTCTTTTTTTGTGTTGAACTTGTTAATAATTGTTTTATATCACTATCAGTTATTTTATATTCTGATTCATATAAATCTAAATCAATTGGTAGACCGGTTATTTTCATTTGTCCACTGGGCATTAACAATAGTGTAAATTTAAATTCAGCAACAAATTCACCATCTTTTTCTTGATAAACTGGATATGGTTCAACAAGATCATGTTTTGCACATTCAATAACACCCATACGTGCACGTTTTTCATCTTCAAAATGTCTTAATGTAAATGGCATTAATGTAAAACGTTTTTCAACTTCAGATAAAAATACACGTGATGATTTCATACGTAATTGATAAATAAAATCTTTTTTCTTATATACGGTTGTACGTATATCAGTTTCACGTGGTTTACCTTCACCGGATGATACAAGTACATCAACAGCATAAACTTCATGTAGTCCAAATTCTTGTTTTTCAATATCACGACGTTGCATTTCACTTGGATTTTGATAGATTTTTTTTTCACCATCAATAATACCTCGTGACATTTGATATGAAATCATACCTAATTGAAAACAAATTCTTTTTATTATTATTATAAATCGAAAATTAAAATTTTGTTTGGTTACCTTCAACAGGTTTACAATGATAAGCACTTGCAATACGATCGATTACTTCAGTAACAGCAGTATTATGTTCTGTTGGTTTAATTAAACGAAGTGCAGCTTCAGCAGCATAATATGCAGCAAGAATACAATCAGCTCGTCGTCCTGTTACTTTTTTTTCTCGTGTTGCACCAACAACAAGTGTATGAGCAACAACAGCAACATAACCATCAATATGACAACCTAAATCAATTTTAACGACATCATCATCTTTTAATATCATATCTGGATCAGATACTAATGGACTAAAATGACAAATGTAATTATTGATGGATAAACATGTTGGAAATGCGATGCCCTTTTTAACTTCTTTGTCTTTTTTAAATACACGTAATGTTTCTTCATCTAAACGTTTATCACCATAAATACATGTATCTTTAATAGATGCACCAGGTACACATCGATCAATGACTTCACGAAGAACACGTTGTGTTATTTCTGATGCCATCTTATATTTGGTAACAACAAGATCGCTAGCAATTGTTTCATCTTGTGCTGTTTTTGATGATGTTGATTCGCCAGATGCTGACGAAACACTCGATGAACGAGATGATGACATAATGAAATCTAGAAAATCGATTAAATTTATTAATTTAGATTTAGACTCTATCGATAAATATAAAAAAATGAGGATTGCTTCAGAACAAATGAGTACCATGAAAGATGATATATGTCCTCAATAGAGAAGCCAATGATAGATTGAAGCAAATGAACGTTTAGAATTTGAATAAATATTGTATTTTTTTTTAAGTTTATTTCATTTAAAATTTTTTATTTAATTAAAATGAAAAATTGTAATAGTATTAAAGAAAGCAATTGATTGGTTACTGAGAACCAATCAAAAACAACCTATATGCAATGAATAATAATTGGAAACATTATACTATATATACGCTGAATAAGAACATGCTCTTTTACGACAAACTAAAGTATATGAAATATAAAAGCAATAGACTAAATACTTTAGTTATCAAAGAAAAATATATATACTGTAGAAACTTAAAACAATTAGTTCATTCTCTTTAATCCATGATGATTTAATTCAAAGATTATATCACTTTTTTGCGAGACTAATTCTTGTGTTGCTGTTCCAACATTTCTGTACTATAGATAATAAATTATTGAGAATGCTCAGTTTTGAAGACAATATTTTCATACTATATTCTTTTCAAATTTTGTGTAATTATTTTTAATATTATTCTCAAGTAATACTTTTACAATTAAAAAATAAATATCAATTCTTTCTAGTAGTTTGATGATGATTTCTATTAGGATATTGAAAACTAATAATGCAACTAATCTTTAAGAGATAAAGATAAAATTGGAAAACATTATAGACTGTTCCTTGTATTTTATGCTCGAATGGTTTACGATCACAAAAGAAAAATAAGATTTTTTAAATTGAGATACATAGTATGGTCATAAGAGCGAGATTCATGAGCTAGTGTATTGATTTTGATTAGTTTTATTGAACTGATAGAGTTTATTTATGATTCATCTAATAGCTATACTGTGTTAAATGAACAGTCATATTCACTGATATGACTCAACCAAAATTAGTACTGTTTCATAGTAAGCTCTTTGATAACAATATTATTTTTTAATCGTTCGTTTTATGTTGATGACTACTATTTTCAAAGTGAGCACACAATGAAAGAGATTCAGCTTTTTAATTTCCTTCATCAACAAAAATATTAAGTTCATTTGAATTATCAGTATTATTTGATTCAAGTTTGAGAACTAATGTCTTAAAATGTTTATATTTTTTACTAATAACTTTTGTGATTGTATCCTAAAATTAAAATATTTATTAAATTATCTTATTCAACAAAAGAATAACATTACTAATTTACGCAATCTTTAAATTTCCAATATAAAATTAGAACCTGTTTCATTGACATTGCATATGTTTTCAAGAGGAAAAGAAGGAAAATACGTATCACCGTTTGAATATTAGACCTTAAATAAATGTTCTAATTTGAATTAAAAAAGTGCCTATAAATTTAAAAGTCTCACAGATTCGTTCTAAAATGTCAATAATTGTTCTTGTATTATCTGCCATCCATTCAATAATATTTTTAACAAGAGATCTAATTTTTCAGACATTGAATCAATATAATCAGTTATTCTGTTCATACTAATCGATGAACTATGAAGAAATTGTCGATATTGTATCATTCGCATTTCATAATCAGATTCTTGAGTATTTGCTGGGTGATATGTTTTGATTTCATCACAAATTTGGTGAACTCATCTTGTTATACCAGCAATAAAATTTTCTGATTCATGATCAAATAGTTGTTCGATAAGTGTAATGTCGGCATTGTCACGATTTCTAACTTCTTCTTGAAGTGCATTTTCCAGAACATTGATACGAGATTGAATATAAGATCGTAAAGGTGCTTCATATGTTGTTCAAAAATCATAATTGAATAGAATATTGTCTATTAAATATGAGAAGAAAAAGAGAATCTCATAGAAGAAATTAAGTGTACATCTTTTAATTATTATATTTTGATGGATGTGATTCATGAAAGAAAGAGATGAAGTAAATAAAAATCTAAATTACGTTTTTATGGTGATTGAGTATGTATTAGAGTATATTGTCTATTCTCAATTAGTATAAATAGAAGATTCTACTTTTTAATTTCAAAAGGTTCCAAATTTCAAATTCAAATTTTGTATTTTATTTTATTGAATAACTATTTTTAAATAAAGTTTACTATATTCAACTTTTTCAAGTTCAAGTTCTAGTTTGTTGTCTTCATACCTTCAAGAATATGAATATGATTCTCATAGATAAGTATATTATACTAACTGTAATCTATCACATTCATATTAATCTGCATGTCTATATTGTTTAGAAAAATATCTTTCTATTTACTGGATTGAATAACGATTTGAAAATTATTTTATTTATTATCCATCAATGGCTGATCAGATATGGCTTAATTTATTTTTCGGTGTTTCCATAGAAAGTAATAAATAAATTTAATATTTTAGATTGCCTAAAGTCAGTTATTTATTGTACAAAGCTCGAAATTAATATAATTTATTTCAACAACAAACTCTTTCTTCAACTGAAGTTCAGTATAAATGAACTGTACAATGTCCATTTTCTTTAGTGCTAAGAAACTTTTATTTTGTAGTATTGATATAAAATAAAATTAAGCCAACAATTTCAAAATCCTTTTAATTTGACTTTTGTTTTTACCATATCATTTTTACATACATATATGTATCTTCAATTAAATATGTCACTGATCTTTTCTTTTATTTGTATTTAAAATATATGGGTGTGCGAAATTGAATAAAAGCAAGAAATACCAATAGGAAACCAAGAGAAAAGCTAAGCAGAATAAATATGAAAATATGAAATACCTTTGTGGCAGATTGTATCAATTAGGGGTGGTGCATTAGCGTTAGCATTGTATTATTTAAGACTTAATTCTAATACTTTTGTATTAAAAATAGTCTAATACTTAATACTCTTGGTATTATAATTAGACTAATACTTAATACTTTGGCATTAGAGTTGAATTAGCATTAGTATAATTCAACACCAACTATCTTTTTTTGCTTATTCTTCGAGATATGACTTTGGTCATAGCTTTAGACTCTTTCTAGTCAAGATTTCTTTGCATCACCTGTAGTAGAAAATCGCATGCTCATATGAGACCTAGATTTTTATATTTCTGGAAATATTTGAAGAGAATATATATTTTGTGAACGAATCGGTAGTGTAAAATGAAATCTGGTAGTGAGAAATAGAGAGCGAACGTCATATAGCACTACACATATCAGTGATTAGTATCAAACTGAATAAATTATGATGGATAAAAAAAGAGAAAATGTTCATTTCTTGATTACGATCATAGAATTTTTTCAAGTATATCCTACTTTATACCTGCCGAAGCTTAGAATATTAAAAAGAACTTTTAGTTATGAACAAATGATATTCCATTGTGTTGTACAGTTTATCTATATCTGTTCCTAACTGGAATTGATCAGATTTAAGCTTTACGAATTTATTAAAAGCATAAGCACATCGATACATATACTTACCAATGTTTGTTTAAATGAGTAAAAACAATAGAGATCGATATTAACGGAGTAGTGGATCTTCTCTGCAGCTGTATTCTAGATGAACGAAACAGAAAATCAATTAACATTCACTGCCGTTTTTATTTTATTTTAATGTTATGTATGTACCAAAAATATTTTTAGGTAGTATCGTCATTTCACCAGAAGTACTACTACAGTTTACAAGATGTTAGGTAGATAATTACAGTTTTATATAAGCGGTACATATGATTCTATAAGAGCCATATATATATGTATGTTGTATTCTGTCTTTCTAGATTAGTACAAAATGAAAACTTATTTAATAAACATACATATAATCATGACCAAAATAAACAAAAGATAAAACTGATGTCTCTTTTAGATAGAGACAATTTATTTATCTTAATATCTACGCCATATGGTAGTCAGATAGTCTATCATGTTGTCAAAGTATAATTTCTTGCAATGAGATTCCATTTTTCAGCTTCAATCTTTCATAAAAATGTATTCGCAATCTGGATTATTTTATAAATATCCATCCATAGATAGATTCTTTCCGCTATAGAAAATGTCGAAAAAACTCGATTAGAAAGAGTCTAAAGCTATGACCAAAGTCATATCTCGAAGAATAAGCAGAAAAAGTTAGTTGGTGTTGAATTATGCTAATGCTAATTCAACTCTAATGCCAAAGTATTAAGTATTAGTCTAATTATAATACCAAGAGTATTAAGTATTAGACTATTTTTAATACAAAAGTATTAGCATTATCTTAACTCTAACACTAATGCACCACCCCTAGTATCAATCTGTTTTCTCAAAAGAAAGTCATATCTATATTTTTTAAAAGAATTGTTAGAGAATATGGTATTGGTAAATGATGTACGTTTAATGTTTCAAAAATAAGAGCAATCAATGCCTCTCACTGTGTTCCCTAGACTGAAAAGGATAGGGTCTAGAAACGGGAATTATCTTTTTACATGTATTATTTTTGTCGGTAACATGGCACAAGTGACCATTTTTTTGGCACATTTGACCATTTTTCTTTTTGGCACAAATGATCATTTTTTTGGCACATTTGACCATTTTTGTGGCACAAGTGACCATTTTTTGGCACATTTGGCCATTTTACTTTTTGGCACAAATGACCATTTTTATGGCACATCTGACTATTTTTTAGGCACAAGTGACCATTTTACTTTTTGACACAAGTGACCATTTTTTTGGCGCAAATAACCATATAACTATGGTATATTTTTGATAATATAATTTTATTTGCTATTATCGTTTTATTTTAATAGCATAATATTTAATATATAATATTTTATTCAATCGTATGAAAAGAGCGCTTACTTAAATATTTAAAATATTTCTTAATTATATATAGATCATTATTTTATTGAATAAAGTGAAATAATGAGGCAACGTTAGTTTTCTTTTAATGTGGAGGAAAATCAAATAATATTAATAATAAAAAACGGAACATTCGTATACATAGAGTATTATAAAGCTTTGGAAAAAATGTTTGCCTATTTTTATATAGCATATCATTTATCATCATCGACAAATATTTTTAATACATGTTTGAAAAAAACGATGATGTGTCGAAACGTCCTGTACGATGACTCAATAAAATAAGACCCAGAATTAGAAGCTTAAAACCATACGCATTGTAATTTCATCATATTAAAAGTCTAGTTGATGCATTATTGCAAAATATTTCAATGAATTTGTCGGTTTAATAGTCTTGCTATAGTGCATATAGATAAAAGAGTTCAAAATCAATTTTGATATATAATGATAGAAAGATCTCCACTGCAGTTTTTTTTGAAATCCTACTTTTTATAAAATTGACTTTAATAAAGCTAAAGCATTTTTAAACTTTATTATTCATTCGTCAAATATCAAACTTTTAGAGAATACTTGATTTCATATAAGATAGAACTTCAGTTTGATTCTCTGCTGAAAGTCAAAACTAACATTGATTAACTCTCATTCGTATATAAATAGAGTTATATCAGCATACAGACCGCGACAGTCTGGGGTCAAGTGAATCGAATTTCGATGAACGCTACTTGTATGTGAATGTATATGGTAAATTGTAATGCTTGTCAATGAATTAGTAACTATCCTTCAATGAATGGCAATACAGCGTTACGTTTTACTGTACGTCTTTGAATATAAAACACAACAAGTCGAACTGCTCGTGGTACAGCCAGTTTCAATACTGGGATTAATCCTCCAACTAGTCCAATCAATGTCGTTATTATATAGATTACACTATTTTTTGTTTCATAACTATAACTACATTTTGATGGTTGACATTCACTATAATAACCATCATATATTGTTGATGAGTTCCATTCTTCAACCATCAACCCATCAACAAGTTCTTCTATCGTAGAATTCATATGAAATCGAACTAATAATGAAGTATCAAGTGTTGTTAAATTCATTGATAAATATTTTGTGAAATATGATTGTATTTGATTGATACATGTTTCATTATAAAAGCATTGAAGATTTGACTGAAGTAGTGCTTCAATTATATAACATCCTACGTATACGCCTGGAACAGTAAATGTTACATAGCTACGTGTGGGATTATAAATTGGGAATTCGTAACTACATGTTGCTGAAGATGCACAGTCACAATTACCATCCCTAGGCGAACTTTTTTTTCAAGCGCTTGACCTGGCTTAATTCAAGAATGTGTCCATAGCACATGACATTCTTGCTCAAGAAAGTCAAGAATCTCATGCGCTTCCAAAAAAAAGTTCGACTAGGGATACCATACAAAATATGTGTATGCATAGTTATCACTTTCTGTATAGAGGTAATAGTTAGTGAGTTGTCCAGAAAGTAAACTATTACTTTGAGTTGTTTTTCTTATTGTTGAAATAGATAACAAGAAATCATTAGTCATTGATGATATAAATTGCGAAACAAATGCTTGAGTTTGTGACTGCAATACTTGAAGTGGTGTCACAGATGCACTAACATATTGAGTTGAATAAAACTGAATAAGGCGATTATATATGGTTTGATTAGATAACTGACAAAATGTATTCAGAGCTTGAAACATAAATGAACCTGACGCTCGAAAGTCATCACCATTCAAGATACTTAGTGGACGAGCATTATTAAAATAATCAATCCAGTAGTCAGTGACAAATACACTTGTACATATTTGATGTAGTTTATAATTAACTTGAAGAAACTTATCATACTCGATGGATATATCTGTGCATGCACATGATAATGTTTGCGGATAAGTTGAATATAGTTGTGAATATTGTGAAATTGTAGGAGAAATGGTATGAATAGTTTGTGTGACATTGATAAGTGAAGTGTATAAGATAAGTACAGTTAATGATACAGTTAACAGAATAATGAATATTCTAGTTGATATTCTTTGATTGTGAAGTTGATGTTCATCAGTTGAAGGTGTAGTTGATGGAAACAAATTAAAGTCTCGAACAACAGAGCTTAATTTTTGCCATAATTGAGAAAGGGAATGGTCTGCCACTAAAATAAAACGTCCAAACGAAGTATTTATAATAGATTTTTGATAAGGATTCATACAATAAAAAATATTTCGACTATCAGTTGCAGAACGGTGTTGAAAAGTTCCTCTTATATTAATACTCTGTAGCTGTATTATATATTGCTATATAAGCACAGAATAGATAAAATCCTTCTGCTCTGCATGAAATCAAAGCAATCTAAAAATAGAATAAAGTATGATTTTATTCAGAATCATGTGGCTATCAACGTTCAAATTGGGTTTTGTATTGAAAGATTATTTTGAAACTTATTTTTACTGCAGTTTCGAAGTAAATATGTGAGTTTTAAAGTCAATGTCTCCACCTTTACAAGAGAGACATGATAATTTTTTAGAAAAGGTTTCAATGTCAATGGATGATTATAAGAATATAGAGATGAGTAAGAGTGCTATATTTAAGTAATATTTTCACATAATACATCAAATAATCGTCTCTATCGCCTGTTTTTATTTATGTATAACTGAAATGAAATAAAAACATTTTTTGAAAAAGATTAAGAGCTCACACGAATGATTAGAATAGTAATATATTAGATAATAAAAACTGTTTACATGTGTATTTACATAAGAAACAAAAATAAAAGAGAATACATACTATCTATCTTGAGAATAGACCAATGTTAGGCAATGCCTAACTGAAGATGGTCTGTAGTCAACAGTTGCAGTTGCACTTGAAATTATAAATGAATATGTATTGTTATTTGAGGATGAAAGTTATAACTGCGTCAGATAATCTGAAATTGAAATTATGTAAATAAATACTTATACCATAGTACTATCTAAAATATATTATATTGGTAGATGAGGAACGATAGATGCACATTGATAATAATACGCATTAAACCACAGGAAGTGGCAACATAATCTACAGCTAGTTTTTTTGATTTAGCGAATGATTTTGTACAGTTGCAAAGCAAAGAATATATATCTATTAGACCATTAATATACTTTATGGCCCACTGTATGCCGAGAATAAATTAGTAAGTAATTCAAGTTCTGACGCACTTCACCAGGGACTTGTAAGATAATCAGAACTAGTAGGGTCTGCTATGGATTATCAGGGTGTGGATGCAGGCGTGACCGTGTGGACGTGTCGGCGAGGGTGCGAGCTTGTGAGTGAAGCTGTTGTACACTCAAATGGCGCATCATCGCGAAGGTGGGTAAGTCGGAGCTATTGGTCATAGTAGTTCCTACTAGACCCTAGTACGTCGTGAAAATCTTTTCTAAAAACTTATTGTAATTACATAAATATATATGCACATATACATATATACCCACCCAGGTCTATCAAAACGGTATCGTTTTTGGATCGAAAACGCACCTTATCTGACCGTTTTCATTTCGTTTACAGATAAAATTTGAATTGTAATGTACGATTCTTGTACGATCTTATTTTAAGGTTGTGCAAAATTTATTTTTCATACAAGATTTTAAACCGAGTTTACATACATTTTATTTATCGATTTTATCGCTCGCTTCTAGTTTCTGACCTTTCCCTAATCAACTGTTCCTCAGCACATTCTCCCACTTCCCATCGCTTTCCCTTAAACATCATCAAAGCTATGCACCTAATTCATACTGACCATTTCGACGACGCCAGCAAAAGATCTAAATAAAAACAAATAAAAATTTAATATATAAAATTTATACTTACATATACCACGATATTATTAAAATATCTAAAGAAAATAAAAAATAAAAATAAAAACTTATTTTATTAAATTCATGCTTGCCTATTTGACGATAAAGTTGAAATATCTAAAAAGAAGATATGAGCTTTGTATACAAAAGCCTAGTGTTCTATACAATGATATTAAAATATCTAAATGAAAAAATTAAAAATTAAATTTATAATATCCACACTCATCGACTCTACGTTATTATTGAAACATAAATAGAAACAAAGAATTCTATGTATAAGAATCATACTTGACTATTCGACAATTTGATTGAAGCGTCTAAGTGAAAAAATAAGAATTTTATAGATATAATTTATATTTGCCTATTCAACGGTTTGATTGAAATATCTAAATAAAATAAATAAAAAGATTATATATAAAATGTATGCTTAATTATTCGACAATATTGCCGATATATATAAATGACAAAAAGAAAAATTTTATATATACAATATATACTTGCCTGTTCAAGGATTTGATTCAAATATCTAAATAAAAAAAATAGAAATTGAAGTATTAAATATATAATATTCATACTTACCTATTTGACGGTTTTATAGAATAATCTAAATAAAAAAATAGATAAAACCTAAACTATATTAGTATATCGATAGAATATGTGTTGTATATAGATGATAAATGTAGAATAGTGTATAACGTTGTCTATATACTAAAATGTTACCTTTTATCATTTTATAGATCGAAGTTTTGGAAAAGAAATAATAGAATCTAAAATAATTATTGTGTTCGAATGTTATTGTTTGAAATGGATGTATTCTTTCAAACTGACAGTCAACAATATACAGAGCTACTCATTTTATACAGATCACAAAGAGAGTAATTTTTAAAAGTAGAAAAAAAAATAGTTTCAGTATTTTTTTTTAGAAAACCTTTTTTTGATTGGTGTTGACGACCATGTTTTCCAGTTATTTTTTTTGAACAAAAATAAAAAAAATATTTCAATGTACTATTTCCGAGGACAACTTTCTTGTTTTTAACTAGCAGAAAAACAAGAAACTATAATTACAATAAGCACTTTTATTTTATTTTCGGAGAATAAGTTCATCAACAAAGCATTTTGTAATGTAATTGAAATGTTGCCCTTCACTGGAAGTCAAAAAAGGTTATTTTAATAATGGTAATTATTTAATGTGGTGAAAACTCATAAAAACTGTATTTCAATCAATATTTTGGAATATTTGTATTAATTCAGAGATTCTAAATGATAGTCTGTTATTGATGCATGTACAACTGAATAAATATCAGATCGACTTTTATAAATTAAAATCGATATGATGAAAACACAAACGATGGTGTTTATTTTCTGGTTTACTTTTAACAAATTATATTATTAACGTAAATTAATCTTTTTTTTATGAACATTGTTATGTATGTTAATTTTATTTCGATCTTTTAAACAAAGTTTTTGAATAACAAACGAATCTGAGATAATACCTTTGTTTTTCGTCATTCTTATATAAAGTTATAAACCTATTCAACATGACTGAAGAATATCAAACAACAAAAGCACTTATCCCTTTGCAAAAACCACATAAATCTGCATCAAAGACAAATTCAGAACCTGTAACAAATAATAAATTATTTGGCACAGGTTTGTTGAATATCGATGAAAAAGATCTGAGAGAACATTTTGCACAATTTGGTTCCATTAAAGACGTTATTATTATAAAAGATCGAGCAGGTTAGTTTAGATTAATAAATAAATTTATGATAAAAGTAATTTCTTAGGTCGATCAAGAACATTCGGCTTTGTAACTTATGAAAGTTCTCAATCTATCCACAAATGTCTGAAAAAAACACATAAAATTAATGGTAAACAAGTGCATAAACTATAAGATACTACTGCAGTCAGAATTTATTATTTATCGTTCTGTGAGTATCTTATTATTGATAAAAAGAAAATAAAGAAATAATTTTTCTTTTCTAACAAGAAATATCCATGCAGTAAATATAATTTCACTAAAATGCTTGTAACTATGTTGATGACTTTAACTTTGAGTAACTCAAATGGTAATAAATTATTAATAATAAAAGAAACAAGGTCTGATATTTTTTCACTGTTAAGATTTATCTTTTGATTGTTTTACATGGAAAGAAAATGCTGTTAAAGTAATGAATATAGTTTTTGTCAAAATCTAATTAAGTATTGTCATATCTGTATAGGAATCGAAGATATGTAAGTAAAAAGAAATGAATGATATAATTTGATGAGATTCTACATATCGAAGAGGATTCGTGAAGGATAAATTGAAGATAAATCAAAATATGGAAAAAAGAAAGAAAAGCGAATTACTCAAGTATGAAGATAGCAGAGAGATGAATTCAGTAGAAGAAATAGTGTATTTGAAGTAATAGAAAACAAAAAGAATAGTTTTATTTAAGAATGCCATAAAATATTTTAAACTTAACATATGAATAAATATACAAAAAAAAGACGATCATGCTAATATCGTTACAAATAATAAAAGTGGTGCTTTTTTGTTCTCTTTTTTAATGATTAGTTAAACATCAAGTTTTTTATTTTATAAATATAAATATATTATGATAGTTGCGACACTTATTAATAATTTCTATGATTGTACAATTAACTGATAGACAAATATTTGGATTGTTAAATTGCTGGAAAATTTGAATTGACAAGATATTGTGAAGTGTTGTTATGCTCATTGATAAATATAATTGTGATTAATTTAAACAAGTTTTATCAGATCTAATAAACATATACGCTCAAATTACTCGTTAATACTGTATATTTCAACAAAACAATTATGGTGATTTAATGCTATTTGGTTTCATTTTTCATCTTCATGATATGTAATATTCTGTTATAAAACATTGATAGAGAGATATTTTTATAAAAATGAACTATAATCTGTCGTTTTTGTATATATTCATCATAATGATACTTACATATGAATTAATCTTAATTTTTTGAACATTACAAATCAATACTATCGTAAAAATAATGTAGAAAAGTTATAGTTAATAAGGTTTTCGATAGATCGATTAAATTATATTAAAAATTGACATATTCCAATAGTTCATAGAATATATATTCTTCATGCATCTAGATAATTATTAATCTTGTATCTTTTAATCTATTTCAATATGATTAATCAACATACATTTGAAAGTCTTATGTTAACAAATACAATTGTAATTGCATTTTGTATCGTTCTCTAATCAATTCCTCATCCTGAAGTAATCAAATATTCTTTATTATTACTAAAGAAAACAAAAACATATATAATTGTAAAGCATACGTAAATTTATGTCTTTCACTGTTATTCGATTTATTACGACTCATTGATTGATTACCATATTGCTGTAACCATTTGAGTTCTTCTCTAACCTTGATTTTTCCATGCCAAGGATTAATACTCAATGAATGTCCTCCTTTAGGAAAAGTAATTAATTTTACTGGTATATCAAGATAACGAAGTCCTCGTTCAAATATATAACTTTGACTTGTTGGAACCCGAACATCATTTTCACCAGTAACGATATGTGTAGGCGTACGAACTTTGTCTAACTGATAAATAGGCGTTTCGTTTTGATAAATATGTGGCACTTCCCATGGAAATCCTCCATATAGGTAGCTGATCAGTTCGGGTATATCCATCATACCCCATGTAGAGGTCAAATCAACTGCACCAGCAGCCGATAGAGCAACATTAAAACGTTTAGTCTGTGTAATCAACCAATTTGTTAAAATTCCACCATAACTAAAACCACCAACAGCAAGTTTATATGGATCAACAATTCCATCTTTGATTAGTTGATCAATTCCATAAAGGATATCTTTTCCTGGTAGCGATAAAGGTTTAGCACGAATTTCACTAAGAAACTGATTACCGTAACCTGTTGATCCTCGATAATTGGGTTCGAATACTAACCAACCTTCTGAAGCTGCTAATGTAGCCCAATTATTCCAAGCTAGATTAAGTCTATTTAAACTAGCCGCATATGGACCACTGTGAATAAGAACTAAGAGAGGTAGGTTTTTCGATTGAAACTTTTCCGGTGGATAATGCAATAATCCTTCAATTAGTCGATGATCGTCGGCATTTCTCCAATTGTATACTTTCGTTTTCGGTAAATTTCTTTGAGTGAATAAATAATTTTCATTGGTTATTACTTTTGCTGATATTAATTGACTAATATTATCAATGAAATAAACTTCCATTAGTTTTTCTAATGATGAATAAACAAATGCAATTGATCGATGATTATATGATGATACAATTGATTCATATGTTCCATTCCATCCACTATGATGAATCAAATCTTTTGTTGATAATTTCTGTGAATAAATTTGTATTTCTGTTCCTAATTGTCCAAGTATATAAACCTTAGCATCAGATGTTATTGTGTATCCATCAATACTACCATCAAAATGTTCTCCAAGACGTGTTATTATTCCATTTGCTAAATTTATTGAATAAAGTCGATTTTGTGTATCATTAAATCGTTTTTTATTTGAACTACGATGCCATGCTAAGAAAAATAGATGCTGACCATCGATCGATAATTGTAATGCTGTTTCAACAATTTCATTATTTGTTAATTTTGATAATGCAGATATATTTCGAAGATCGATGAAATAAAGTTCAAAATCATCTAAATTTTCTATCACTACAGACGCCGACGAGAAGATGAGTTTTTCTTCAAATGGAGTATATAATAATTGATTAATGAGAAAGGATACATTTCGAATAAGACTTTTTTGTACGGGTAATGAATGATTGTTTGAATTGAAATCAATTCGATAAATGATACTAGTTTTACGTACTATATTTTCTCGATATTGAATAACATCTTTCCATAAATCATTCTCTTCATCAATCGATTTTACAGCTAAATAAATAGATGAATCATTGTTCGACCATGTCAAAGCTAAAGGCGTCTCTTTTCCAATTTGAATCGGTAACACTGTATCTGCATGAACAGAATATAAATAAATATATTCTTCTGATTGCTGTTTATTTATTGACGAATGATTTTTCGGTAAAAATACAATGTAGTTACCGCTTGGTGACCATTGTGGCTGGATTGATGTACGAAGATTTGTTGTAATGAATTTTTTTGTTTGATTTTTTATATCATAAAGCCATAAAGTATTTTCATAGGAATTAGTATTCCATGATGGACGTTTCGTATGAATCAATAAATGTCGACCTGTTGAAGAGAACTTTAATAATGGAAACGTTGTATAATTAAAAAATTCATCAAAGTTTAATTTAGATTTAGTTTCAATAGAAAAACACGAAAGTATTTGTAAAAGTAAAAGTAAATACAATCGTATTAACATCACTACGATACTCTAGATAGTGACATATAAAATCGAAAAATAAATCGTTTTATATTTATACCTTCATGCTTATCTATGTAATTGATTTTTTGTTTTTACATCATTCAACTTCATTGCTTCTCGCAATATGATACCTCGAAACGATTTATGCCCAAATATGTATACTCTCTTTCAACCTTTTACCTTATCTACATGTTTGAAATTGCCCTTTGGTTACTTATTCGTTTTAGAAATGTTAAAAGAAAAACATGAAGAATACCAACAAGAAATAAAGGTGTAGAATTAGTTTATTCATCACAATCGTCATCTGATAATAAAACCAAATCAGATAAATAAAAAATGTTCATAGTTTTCGTTATCATCAATCTATTTGTTGAGCTTAGCTGTTTTTTAAGCATATCTTGCGTGCTAATTAAGAAGACGACTATATCGGTGGGTATCTCTTGGTAATTTTAATATACTGCCATCAATATCATTAAGTTTTCTTGTTTACCCAGATCGAACAATCCGGCACGGAAACGGCCGGTTTCGCCCGGAAATTCATGGAATCCCACTTTAGGAACCATCATCCTGGGTTTATTCAAATTAATTCTTGTTTGAGCATCATCTATAAAAAACATATTTTTCAAATTGACACACAATATTTTAACATGCAGGTAACCGGTAAATGAAGCATAATTATTTGTGATCAAAGAGTTTTTCGATGGACTCATGAAGTAACAATCCATTTTGTTCGTTATTAATATCAGATTGTTTTAAACCAAATTCAAGTAAACCAACTCTTCTTGTGGCTGCCGTCTCCAAAGTCCAATCGAAAAACTTGCTTAATATCATACATTTAATTTTTTTTGTATTACCACCACCACAATGATAACAAGACAGTTTATAGCATTATATGTATATGTGAGATATATGTATAGTCAAAAAGAAAGAAATTATACGAACAAGGTAGCGCTCATTTAATTGATTCGCTGACCCTTTTCTGAAAGAAAATTTTCTATGATTATTGTTAACAAGTAACGCTCGTTCACAGACTGGCTCAGCTCTTTCTTGTAGAAAACGTGTTCTACAATGCTATTGAACTTTTTACTTCTACAGTTTGCAAAAGTTAATGCTAAATTCGGATTACCCGACCCCAATTACCTGTGGTCAGTCATTTTCTGATGGCTATTGATAAGTTTTCATTGATTTATAAAATGCTGCAATCTAATTGGCTTGGACAAACTTTAGGCATTTTTATCGAGCCTATAACCCTTTCTTTCAGAAAAGGGAATAAACAATAAAACTGTTATTGAAATCAATTTATTCATCTTTTGTTCTTGAGTTGTTACTTTTCCATCAATCTAATTTGGTCAAGTTAAGTGAGCTCCAGATTTGAAGTTTACGACTTTCAAGTTTTTCGACAAATTGTAGCTTGTAACTGTGTGCTTTTTTTTCTTGAGCATCACCAGTCTATTCAGCAGCCCAGAGTATCTATTAGAGCAAACAAAAACAGATGAATACAGTTTTCAAGTGGAATTTTCGCGAAAATTTGGACAGACGTAAACTCCAAATTTGGAACACTTAACTTCACTAAGATTTTATTGATGTTGATGTTTTAGAATGCAGCCTCATCATTTTTAAAAGAATTAATTGTTTTATCTTTATCAAGATCGAACGAATAAAATAATTCAATACAAGTTATTTAGGATAATTCAAAATTTCTGAGCCCAAACGTAAGGGTCAACTTTTACCTTCGGAATCAGAGCTTTTGGGTATGTTAACTGTATTATGAGATATAGCGTGAAAAGCTCTACAATGATCGTCTGCGTGAGAACTGTAGAGCATCTCACACTGTAGCTTATGTTATATTCTATCATCATATATGCAAATATATCAAAAGAAAATCGTGCTGTTTTTTGCAAGCAAAAACTATACAATTAAATTAAGTTTACCATGTTAGATTGTAGAGCTTTTCATGCTATATCTTGCGTGTGGGTGTGCCGTCAGCATAATATCAACACCCATCCCTAAATTTCCAAAGAAAATTGTGTTGAATTAGATCTATTTATCTTGTCATTAATCAGTTGATTCTGATGTAATTTTCAGTGTAAAAAACGTGTTTCTTTATTAAACTCATTGTAAAACACAAATATCATATATTACATATTGCAGAAAAAAAATACATTCACAATACAGAAAAAATAGAATATTAATCACCCAGATGAAGAGGAAAATTAGTCATTGGATACTGCAGAATCGTATATATCCAAGCTGGATAAAGACAAATCATTCTTGATTATCAACAAACATATTCAATGCAATAACAATCTAAATAAAATTAAAAAGACAAAACAAAAATTCACTCAATCATTTTATCTTCTACTAACTTCTTTCTGTGTCATAGAATTAATATCAAAATTTTGATCAAATTTTTCTACTGCATTTATCCATGATGATGAACTCATTCTTACATTTATATTTAGTTCATTTGAAAAAACTAGAATACCATTATCATTCGTAATCTACAACATATGAAAAAAATATGTCATCTAAATCAAAAAGAAGAATGCTTGACTCACGGAATAATCACTTGTCACATAACTAAGAATCGTTCCTAATCGTCGATGTAACATTGTATCATCAATTTTGCGTACTTTTGCTACAGAAAAAAAATGAATTAGATAAAATATAAGATAAAATTAATCATTAATAACCAATTTCATGCAGTGGTTGTTCAGATAATCTTTGTCGTTTTGGTCGATGACATTGATTTTCGATTTGCGCTAAGATCTAAAAATAAATATATAAGTATTTATCTTTATATAGAGATAACTTTAATCGATAAACAAACTTCTTCATCGACAATATCAAGTTTTTCATCATTATCAATTTGTTCTTCTGATGATACTGGCGGTCCATTGTAAAAACTTGTTTGTATACATTCATCGATACTTGTTAATGATGTTTTACTATTTGTTGACATAGTTGAATGTATTGATGGCATTGATTTTGATTTCACAAGAAATAATTCTTGTTTGAGACGAGCATTTTCTTCACGTAATTCATCTATTTCGTGTCTTAAATGTGGAGTTTTTATTTGAGGTACATTAGTTATTGTTGCAGCAAGTCCTGCATATCGTAATGTATTTATTGTTTCATCAATAACAGTTGATGATGGACTAATTGTTGCTAACATATATGTTTTAGCATCACCGCCAAGACTATTTTTTAATAAATATGTTAAACTTGAATCACGATATGGTATATGATGTTGTTGGCGAGATAAAGCATCGATTACATTTCGAAGAGTAGATAATGATTGATTGATATGAATACTTTCCTAAATTTGAGAAAGAAATCATTCAAAGACTATTAAATATAAATAGACTTAGTCATACGGTTTGTTCTATACGCAGTAATAAAAATATTCAGTTTACGCCAGAATCTTTCTTTTACTCGCTCTCTGTCTCACAGCGTGTAGTTTTAGGAGTTCAATTTTTTTTATAGTGTTTTTGTCTTTATAAATATGATCTAATCAATTTAGGTAAAAAGAGATCTTACTGCAAATCGATCATTTTTTCCTTTTGATCGAATAAATTGTTGTGATTTTTCACTTCCAGCTAAATCAACAAAATTTAATCGTACACATTGTGCTTCTAATTCATCTTGTGCTTGTTGTTTAGCATTTTTTTTATTATTATTTAAATTAGATAATATTGAAGTTTTATGTGTATTTGTTAAATTTGTATTAGAATTGACTCCAAATGAAAGACGTTTTGTTATTGATTGTGGTATATCTATTCGACTTATTTTAATAGTAAATATTGCGTGTGACCTTGATGAACGTTGATTAGCATTTGTTGATGCAACTGAACGTTGTTGATTACCTAAATTTAATACATTTTGAAAATCTTCTTTTGTTTTAACTTGAATATATTTTAAATCAGGAACATATGGACCAAGTACAGGATGTTCACGAATTTCAAGTGTACGTATTGAATTTGATACAAATTTATTTAAAATATGTGTACGTGCAGTTTTTGAAAATGATGTTGATTTATTAGTGACATGTTCATTTGATGTTGTAGGTGCTGCAAGAAGGTCTGTCACTTTTTCATTATATATTTCAAGAAAACTTAATTCAAATTTTAAATGATGATTTGCATTCATTGTTATTAAATTATCAATACTTAAAGAAAGAATTCCTTCTTCACTCGATGAACCAAATATGGAATGTGATTTTCCTTGAAATAAAATCAAAAAAATTTAAATAATCTTTTCTTTTCTGTAACATTGTTGTATTACCTGATGCTGTTTGACCATAGGCCAATACAGTTGTATTATATCCTAGATTAATAGAAAAAAAATAATAAATTAAGATTTTTGACATTAACCGAATTTGCGTCATTGAGTGAATAACAAATATTAACTCGATCTGCTATTACTGCTCTCATCCTGAACAATCTTTATACATAGTTCTTTTATTAAATACCTTGTAAGGAAGCAAGAACAGCTGAACGAATCATTCCATCATAAACATCTTTCTATATGAAAAACAATTGATTAGTTTTTAATAATTTTTTTCTATGGATTTACATTATTAGCAGATGCATCAAAACAATTTGTAAATTTAAATATCTGCGGTCGACCATTTTGTGTACAAATAACATTATTTTCAAATATTTGTACAGCTGATATATCATCAATCAAAGATTCTCTGAACAAAATAAAAATAGAAAAAAAAATCATATTTAATTGAATATTCCAACCGTTCAAGAAAAGGACGAAGTCGAATGCCAGTTATAATTGGATCACCTTTAACTACTTTTTTTCCTGGTGTACGAGGCGATGACGATGAAAGAATACTCGATGAACAAGTTAATTGATCATCTGCAACAAAATTTATTGATAGAAATGACAAATTTCTTTCAAAATATTAACCTACGAGTTGATAAAGTTGATTTTCTCAATTGATTTAAACGGCGAGCCATTTATCAATTGAAAATTGTTTTGACACACAATCGATTTTCTTATTCTTAGTACTTGTAATATAGAACGAACAGAAAGAATCGATAAGCAATAGTGTCTATGTATATTTTTCAATTCAGAAAATATAGGATAGATGGCGATTGCCATCAATTCGAAAATTACTTCCATCAAAATATTTGCATATTATTAAATAACTATATCTTATAAAAATTAGAAATGTATTGTTTTTGTTATATTTCGTTTATATAAAGTTAAATCTGCCTTAAGCTATCCGATTCATAATAGATATTACGCAAACGAAATAGACTACTGTATAACTCGATTGTATAGCAGTTGAAGCATATTCATTTGAACTATTAATATATCCAAGATGTATAGACTCTTTTTTTTTAAATCGTAAACGTAAGTTTTCTTTCACATTTTTAGCATTGGTCATCTTCTGTCTGCTTGATATTATACAATTGGAATAGTAATTAAAACAAAATCGAATACAGAGTCTTATATAAAGACAATAAATAAGTTTCAATTAATCATTGCATGTCTTTTTATTTGCATAGAGATATATGATTATAAGACTAAATCATTTTGAGTGTTATACCTACGATGAACCTTGACATTTAGCGATAAAGCTGAATGGTTTTCATTTAACTTACAGATTTTCAATCATCAGACAATATTTTTTAAATTCTTCTGCTCGATTGATTATCAAAGCTTGGAAATTTAAAATTCATATTTTTTTTATACTAGACGGGAATTTTTCTTTTGTTAACATCTGACACTCTTCTACGTGTATAAGAAAAGATGAATGAACAATACATTGATTATACTTAGCAGAAAAAAGCTCTCCAATCAGTTCAGATAGGTTATAATATTTTTTTCATCACTCAAAGCATTCGTTAATCATAATTATGATAGAGAATTGTTCGCCTACTTATTTACATTATAAGACTACTATATATTTTTTCTTTTCTTTCTTTCTGTATGACTGATTGAACTAATCCAATCCATAGTTTATTAATAAACTAGCGTCATCTGTTTTTTATTTATCAAAAAATTTTATTGACAAATTCGAATTTTTCTTTATTAAAAAAATACAAGCAATGAAAATTCAAACAATAAAATACATTTGTTTTCATAGTTGTAAACAATGTGATCGAGAAAGAACAGAACAAATACCTGACCGATGGGAATAAGAAAAGAAAAAATAAATAGCGAGCATGTGATTTCTGCCATGATTGAATAAGTCAAATGTTTTTATTAAAAATAACGTTTATTTCGATGTTAAAAAATACTATCTTACTATTTTAGAATAAAAATCCATTGCTCGCGCGTGAAGCGCGTGAGCATTATATATATTAAAAATACAAAACAATGTGATTATTTAGAAGCAAAGTAAAAGTATAATTGAAATCGATATCGTTTATGAGGAGGTAAATGAAGAAGAAACGGCTTTTAAATTCATATAATTTTCATTCTTTTTTTTTCTTTAGTCATTTTCAATTCTCATTATTCTCCGATTTTATTCAATGGCAGCTATACGTTCATTTCTCAAACGTACTGTTAGCCAAAATTCACCAAACAATAATCATTTAAATACAGGATCTACAACAGATTCAACAAGTGATACATCATCATCAACAACAACAACTGAACGTATAAATAAACAAACAAATGATGGTTTAAGTAATTCATCACCATTAGGGATTTTAATAAATAATAATAATAATACGAATAATGATGATTCATTACGACGTCCATTACTTAATATTTCTTCAACAAATCGTCGTGGACGATTATTATTACATTTAATTAATAATTCAAATAAAATGAATACACAAACCGAGCAAGTGATTGATGAAAATATTTGTTTACTTGATACAAAATTACCAAAAGAACTTATTCTAAGGTAATTAAAAAAGTGTTTTTTTAATAATTTATTTAAATTAAAAGTTGATCGTAACACAAATATATTACATATTATCAAATGATAGATTTAAGACAAATCATTCAATCTAATCTCATAAGATTCAAAATGATCTTAGGAGTTTATGAATGATTTTAAAATATCGAAGTTCGTTGTTTTTTTCGTAGGTGCAAGAAACTGTTAGTATAATCCCTAAAGAATTTAAATGTGAATTACACAACATGTATAAGAAGTAGTTAGATTAGTATAAATTTTCAAATTTGTAGAAGCAAATAATAAATTTTGTTTTTGAAAATGAGATGAAAGTTTCTTGTCTACAGTTTAATAATAATAAAAAAAAACTGGAAATAGAAACGGAACCGGAAACTATTTTTCTATATCATTATTAACATCATCTATGTTTTATTATTATTATTATATGTTCTCAAGTTGTGCAGTTATGAAACCTTTTATATGTTGTAACAAATTGGAAGGATAGAATCGATTTTATATCTTTCATATCGAATATTAAAGAATAAAAATTACGAGTTCGAATACAAAACATTATTCGATAGACATGAAGTTGATCTTTCACATAACATCTAACCATGATAGTTATTTGACTCACATGAAATTCAAGAAAACTTTTCTACGAATAAGTAAACTCTGTTGAATTGCTCAATCAATGCATTCGATTGAGCCTCTTTATTTAATTCTTAATAAATTCCTTTATTTCTTACTAAAGCTTATCTAGCAGAGATTATTGATATAACCCTTGTATTAGTTCTCGACTGGATCAGATTCTAACATATAGTATATACTCAACTGAAAAGTCGACAATAGAGACAGATCTACAAATGCAACAAATCCATCCTCAAACATATCAATATTGATGATTATTCTGCATTATTGATTCAATCTTATAAAATCTAGCATAGTCTACGTAACAGAATTGCTCTCAGATCTTCCTATATGAGATTTCTAAAACATTTCAGAATGAAATAGAAATCAAGCTACTAAAATCAATTATACATTTGTATTCTTTTAGAATCTTTTCTTTTCTGGATTATCAATCACTCTGTCGATGTGCACAAGTATCCAAAGTAAAACTTAAGATTAAAATTTTCTTTTTTATTCACTATTTATTCTTTTTTTATAGTATTGGAGTACACTTGCATTGGATGGTTCAAATTGGCAAAGTATTGATCTAAAAAGTTTTCAACGTGATATTCATGTAAGATAAAGATTTGAATTCATAAATATGTATTTATATATGTTTTTCATGTTTATTCAAGGGAACTGTTCTTGAAAATTTAAGTTTACGATGTGGAAAATTTTTGAAAAAATTAAGTGTTGAAAATTGTAAACTTATTACAGATCATAATATGCAGTAAGAAACAAATATTTAATTTAATAGAAAAAAGATTACAAATTTTTTTATTTAAATTAGCATCCTTGCCAATCATTGTCCAAATTTAGAACGATTAATAGTTAAACATTGTGACAAATTATCTAATATGTAAGTCACTAGAGAAATTCAAACAAAATATTTATTTATTTTTTCTTCATATTTAGTACTTTACTTCATTTAAGTAAACATTGTCCACATTTAACTTGTATTAATATATCATCATGTCCTCAAATTGATGATCAAGGAGTTAAAATAATTTGGTAAACTATTTATTTGATATAATACTTTTTATTATTATAATTATATTATGATTTAGTTCAAGTTGTTCTCATTTGGAATGTTGGGATATATCATGGTGTATGAATATTACAGAGAATGGTATTCGAATTCTTGCTGAATCATGTCCGAAATTAACAACTTTTAAATCCGAAGGATGTCCATCTGTATGTTAAAAAGAAAATAAATTTCTTCATTTTTATTTATTTTTTTGTTTAAATAAATTATTTAGATGACAAATAATGCAGCTATTTATCTTGCAAAACATTGTTCGAAATTAATATTTCTTGATTTTAATCGATGTTCTGTAAGAAAAAGAAAACGTTTTAATTTAAATATATATCTTCTTTATTTTTATATAGTCGTTAACTGATGATGGCCTTGTAAAACTAACTCAATATTGTCCTTTACTTGAAACTTTAATTATTGCTAATTGTACAGGTTTAACAGATAATACATTAATAGCTCTTGGAAAATATTGTCATCAATTAAAGTAAAATTCAAATTAGAAAATGAAAACGATAATTTAATTTATTGTGTGTGCTTTTTTAAGAAAACTTGATGCAACTTTGTGTTCACAATTTAGTGATGCAGGCTTTTTAGCAATGGCTCAAGTAAGAATTGAATCTATTAGAATTTGTTTTTAATTATAAGATTATTTTTTTTCTAGGGTTGCCATTTATTACAACGAATTGATCTAGAAGACTGCATAGCTGTAAGAATAAAAGAATCGAAAAATAAATTTTAAGTTAAAAAAGAAGTGAAGAACATTTGCGAGTTATACGATATCCATTAATATTACGTGAGAAACATATGGAGCATGATAATTATTGATGCATATCTGTAGACAAACTATTCTTGACTTTTTGAAGTGTATTTGAGAAGACTCAGAGTACAGTGAAGAACTTGCAATTAAAAATCAAATTCATATAAAGTATATTTTAATTGTATACATTCTGAAAGATATGCTTGAGCTAATATCAAGAGACCATGATATTTAGTAGAGATAATTATCAAACAATCGTTAAAAATAACTTATTTGATTATCTGAATTTCTACTCAAGATTATTCTATATATTTGATTTTTTATAGTTATTTTATATTGTTTTATTTAGATTTAAGAGTGTAATCTGATACTATCACATTACTCATAGATAAAACAATGGCTGACGAGGATAGGGAATAAAGAAACATTAAAGTTCGCTCGTAAGAGATTCCTAAGTTCTTTCGATTCAAATTTTAAGCTACATTAAACTAAACCGAGTTACAGCTTGTGAAAAATGCATCATTTCTTTTAATTATTCAAAGCTGCAGCTCTTTCTAATATTTTTTTTAAAGGTCACTGATGAAACATTACGACATTTGGCTGATAATTGTCCCAATATTCGTATTCTTGTATGTTAACATTTCTTTGTAATCATAAAATAGATACTATTGTCTTCTATAGACTCTTTCTCGATGTGAACAAATAACCGATGAAGGTGTTCGTCATATTGGCTCGAGTGTTAGTGCTCAAGAAAATCTACGAATACTTGAATTAGACAATTGTCCATCTATAACAGATATATCTATTGATCATTTACTTGCTTGTCAAAATCTTCAACGTTTAGATATATTTGATTGTCAACAGATAACAAAAACTGCAGTTAAAAGAATTCAGGTACTCTGATTGAAATATATAATAAATAAATTAAAAAATATATATACTATTGAATTATTAATCTTTTAGATACGTTATCCAGATTTAAACATTCATGCTTATTTTGCTCCTCGAACCCCCACACCTACAGCTAATCAAACAACATCATGTTCAATTTGCTGTTGTTGCTGTTGTTGTAGATCATGTTCATCTTGTGTACCTCCATGTTGTACAATCACGTAAATTTTTTTGTACATATTTGTTTGTGTTTATCTATTGTATCTACGAGATTTCATTGTTCTTCTATATAAAGCAAAGTATTGGCGCATTGACTCGGCAATTGTATTCTTTGTATATATTTATTTATATGAACACATACTTAAATTTATTCTTTCAACAATCAGTTTTCCTTTTTCTTTTCTTTTATACTATTATTATTATAACAATCTATTACTTATTCAACAACGTATTTTCTCGTCTTTTAATGTCAGTTTTCATGTGAGTGTTTTACAAAAACAGTCGTTTTTTTTCTCTTTTCTTCCTTTGCTTACTGTTTTGCTTGTTCTGATAAAAGAAGCCATAATAAATGGACTTTAATTAACATTCATTACTACTGAAAGCAAACAAAACGTTTTCAATAATATTATAATAGCATATAATATATAATTGCTTTCACTTGAAACATCAATATAATACATCGAGAAAACTTTAGTGAATAATGTACTACCTTATATTTTCGTATTAGTCATAATTGTATCAATAATTATTAATTCGATAGGAAAGGTAGAGTTTGTCTTAGAAAAGCATGATAAATTTATGTATAAATTGATAATGTATTTTGTGATAAATTATACTAGATGAAATCAATAAGTACGTTGATAAAATCTAATTGTGTCCAATCTGTTTAGTATAAGAATACTGAACATATCATAATGTTTTACTACAATTGTAAAATATTTTTTGAGTATCGTTATTAGCATTCGAATTATTATGATGCTGAACGTCTGCTGACGTAAAAGTTATCGAGTTATATCCATATGATTTAATTAGTTATAGCAGAATAGTCCTAATTGTTTTTGGTACAAATCGTTCATGTCATTTGATTATCAAATAATAATTGTGAAGTTTAGTGTCTTCTTTGTGCTTTCAAAAGAGTGAAAATGCTACAATTTATTTTTGTTTGTTATATCGAATAGTAGAAAAAATAATTGTCCACCGCAGATCTTTGAGCTCGTTTTACTAGAGAATTTGTTTGTGCTATAAAACTGTAGGTTGAAGTAAAATATTCAGGAACAATCCTGTTTACTATTTCGTAATAAATTTTATTCTTTACTTTCTTCAAGTAAATATAACTATATAATCAGAACGTCAATATTGCAATTTATTACCAATCTATAAAGCTCTTTTGGTTTTATTTTATTTATTGGGGATAATAAGAATTTACACACTTACTGCAACCTATCATAGAATATAATAGATTTTTGTCAAATAAACCTATTACATCAATAATAATTCAACAAGAAATTCAATAACGAAATTCTTCATGTTGAATTTGATAAAAACAAATGAATTTTATTAAGAATGAAAAACAGATATTGATGAACAAAACTTTTATTTTACAGATCTCATTACACTAATTGCAAATACTCATACACGATCAAATGGAGAGAGAAAAGAAAATGTAAATTTTTTTTAAATATTGATCGCTAAAAATTGTTTATATTCTACCATTTAGAACCTAGTTCTAATAAATAAAACAATAAACATTCTATGCTAATGATTGATTACGATGTTCAATATGTGGTGATAAACAATTATGATAGATAGGCTCTATAAAAAAATAATAATAAAATAAGAAATAAATATAGTGAAAATAAATATTTATACCATTATATTTAGGAGATGGTGCAGCTGAACTTTTCTCTGATCTATACGGATCACATCGTACAATACCCAGTGAGCGCATTTGTTTTTCTATTCGAACGGATGGATTTGCATATTGGATAATGACATTATTTTGTAGTTGTTGATCGATAGTTGATGTTAAATTATCATTGTTTGGTAATGCTTTTTCATAAATAACTTGACGTTTTTGTTGTTTATATGGAAGCCAACGTTCAACAATAATATCAGGAGGTTTAGCAGGCATTGGAGGTAGACGCTCAATAATAACACGACGTGATGTATTTTGACCAGATGATACTTGTTTATAAATAATCTAATTTTATAAAAAAAGAATAATACTATTTATCATTACAGAAATTTAATTTTGATTTTTTTTTCTTTTGGATTTTAATACTAAAATTAATTGATTTACCTCAGGTGTACTGTAACATGGTGGAGTTGGTGGTCGTTCTCGAATGATTATTGGTGGTGGAGTAATTGGCGCTGGAGGTCGTTGTCGAATAATAACTGAAGAAAAATAAAAAGTATTTCATGATTTTAATTTTTAAAATGTAATTTTTCATTTTACTTGGTGGTAATGATGATAGTTCAGGTGCTCGAACTTCTCGAATAATTAATGGAGCTGGTGGTGGTGGTGTTGGTGGACATAAATATCGAACAGCAATTTGTTGTTTATATACAACAGGTTCATGAGTAGCATCAACTTGTTTCCGAATAATCTGTGGTGATGGATCATAATTAATTGGATAATTTGCCAATTGATGTTCTCGAATTACAATGCTAGGTCGACGAACGCGTGGTACATGCTCAGGCTCATCTTTATTTAAATAAGAAAAGACAAGAAAATTTTTCAAAATATTTCATGTAAATTAAATGAAATATGTTACCTGTTGTTGTTGATGGTTCATGATCAATTTTATTTCGTTGTTCTGAGAGATTTTCATATGTATTCGATCCCGAAACGGATTGAAGCGTTGTAGATTCACTCCTTTCACCATAAAAGCCTACATCACTTTCGTCCTCGTTCAACATTTGTTTTCGGTCAAATGTATCGACAATTATGACCTTACTCTTTTTCGTTCATGATGACCAAGATCATTGGACCGTGTCCTTCTATTTAAAAGCAATTTCTATCTTTTTTGTCTGTCCTATTTATTATCACTTTTGTCTTGTGATACATATTTAATAAAATGAAAGAACACTTCAGTGATTGAATTCAATGAAACCCAATTTGTAAAGCATACTAAAACATAATATAAACGTATTGTAAAAATGTGAGCAACAAACATATTTATATCGTTGTCACATTTATTTTCTTGTATTCATTATGCATGAATAGATGTCTCTATGCATTCAAGTGTGAAAAAAGAAACCATAATTATTCACAACAAATATTAATACATAGAAATTCGATGGAATCTCAACATCTTTTCATAAGGACTCAAAATGTTAAATTTGATCCTAACAAAAAAGTCATACACATGCAAGTCGTCAATGTCATCATTTCAAATGATCGTCAACTATTGTTAGCAATTATTTTTTTTAGATATTTTCCAAATAAGAGAGAAACAAAAGAGATAAGAAACACATTTAAAACACTTATCTATGTAACTCATGGCTAATATATATTTATATTTTTGTCATTTGTATTCAAATAGACATGTTGTCTTCATATATATATATGAATATCGATGAATGTTTTGTGAAGCGTTATGAACGATGATGGTTAATTTAATAGTTTAGATATTTCTCTCGTTACTCGATTATAATAAATATGTTACCGCAATCTCATTCCGCACGGTGGATTTTCAACTTTATCTAATACTGAAATCTACCATATGTGAAATATCTTTCTTTCTATTCTATATTTCTCTTGTTTCTTTCGAATTGACAGTATTGTAACTTAATCATTTATATCTTAAATATATATTTGATAAACCCATACTATGATTACTATGAAAGAAAGATATTTCGATACAAAATATGAATTGAAAATTGGATATAAAATGTTAATTTCTTTTATCATTTATTTTTGTAATCGAACTATTGTCAATAATAAAAGAAACCTTGTATTGTGTGATTTAAGTCAACATTGTTGTGCTTCATCGAATAGTATAGTTAAATAAGTGTAATAGTCATTGGCTCTATTTTCTTCTTTTATATCGTCGTTTATGAATATAAGCGATAGAGTATTTTCACATGATTAGACTAAACCGATTATTCTGAGTGTAGATGTAAGTGTGAGTATATGTGTAAAGATATAGTCGTCTTTCACTCTATATTTCAGTACGAATAGCAAAGAAAAAGAAAAAAAGAAGAAGAAGAAGAAGAGACAGTAGTAGTATTACTACAGATCGGAGAAAGGAGATGGAAACAACAAGCCTTCTTTGATAATTATAATTTCTTTTTTCGGAATATTAGTTGTTGTTGTTATTATTAGTCGAAGAGAAACAGCAGTAGTCATATGTGTTTCTATACTAAATACTATTTTTCAATGATTTTTTTATAAGTCATTCGATTTATTATTCTGTATATTCTTGTCTCCTAGTATCATCTTTATCTTGTTATTTTTTTTCATTTATGAAGCTAATCTCACTTGACTTTCAATTAATAATCTCGTGTACATGCTTTTTCTTTACATATAAACACGATTCTGTACTTTTTTCGTAATTTAACCTATACATTGTACTTATATCAAAGTGATCAATCATCTGAATTTAGTTGTCGTTGGCGTTATTATATTTTTTTCTCTCTAAATATATTTTATGTAATAGACCGATACAGGAAAGAGCTAATTTCCGACAGGTGATAATCGTTCTATGAAATTTTTCCGGTTTCGTGATAAAATACAAGTATCATTTTAACATTTTATGATATAAATCATGTTATTATATTATTATCTTTATTCTAATAAATAAATAGACATTTCTCTTGTCAAATATAAGAATAAACATTCATTTCTTGAGTTATTTTTCTTATAAAGAGAGTTCCGGCAGGTATACTCGATTAAGTGCTACCTTATCAATCAAACTGAATGAGACTAAAGACAATCGTTGACTACATATATATTTTCTTTTTGTTTATCTTTAATTAAAGAAAAATACATGAAAATAAAGTAGGATAGTATATTCAAATTCGAGTGACTCTTAAATAAGAGTTTGTCTGTTAGTAATAAACTTCGAAATTAGTTTCCTTATTTTTTAAAGAATAAGTATTGCGTGTATATATATATACATGAATGAGTCGTCGAGCTCGACTCGACAACCACTACAGTAATAGTAACATAGAGAAAATGATAAAAAGAAAGTTTTCTCGTCATTGCGTTCGCTTGCTGTTATTGTCGGTGACGAAAATTGTTTGAACATCCTTATTTAATCATCATCATCATCGTCCTTATCCGAAAGAAAGAATCGTTCGATCTAAATAAAAAGAATGTCTTATATGTATTGACTCGTTCTTTCTTATTTAACTGCTGTGATTGCTTCCATATATATATATATATATATTTTATAGGTTTCTTTTCATCATCAACTGAGGACATACATACAAAGAAAGAAAAGAAAAGAAAAGGTGAGAAAATCTTTACTGCATAAATAATCTTTCTTAGAAATTCGTTACAAGTAAGTTAATTTATAAATGTCACTTTTTTATTCTCTAATATATTTATATTGATAAATAGCAAAAACGAAAGCATATATTTTAAATAATTTATTATTGCACATGGTGGCTAATGACGAAATCATTGCTTATTCTGTTTACTTTTCTAATATGTCTTATAATATTTTTACCATCATCATCCCATTGTTCAATATTCAATATTGGACAAAAACGAATTCAAAGATCTTTAGAAATACCATCGATTCCAAAAGCAAATGTAACAATATTAATGATGTTTCCCGATATTGATGATTTTATACCGAATTTAAAATCATTATTAATTGTTTATGAATATATTGTTCATCGTTATCAAATATCAAAATGGCTTAATATTAATTTACAAGTTAAAGATTCAAATTGTTCAATATCTTTAGCACCTCATATGCTTGTTACAACAATGCTTTCAACAATTCCAGATGTTGTTTTTGGACCATTTTGTGGTATATATATACACGATTTTTGTATAATCAATCTTTTTTTTTTAATTTTTAGATTTAGCAGTAGCACCTGTAGCTCGTCTGCTTCATTTTCAAAATATTCCTCTGATTACAATGGGAGCTGTTTCAAATGAATTTACTTTACAAAGGCAAACAATGTATTCAACATTGTTTCGATTTGGATATCGAACAGATGAACTCGGTAAGAATATTTAAAGACATAGACATAGTAGTAATAAAACTGTCATATGTTGATGGTCTCAGACGTATTAGAAAACAAATGTCAAGATGGTAACTATCCGAATATTTAATGCAGAGAATATAGGTTAATAATAAAACCGAGGAAAATATATTCATTGATTAGATTTACTTGAAGATTATCTAAGAATAAAACTTGTGGCCTTTCAATACGATCGGCACTCGGCAACCGGAAAGAAAAAAAATTTGTCTATGATTGACTCTTCAGATAGAAAGAAAAACTTTCTTACATTTATTATTCAATTCATCATAAACTATTCAATATGATAATCAATTTCTTTTCTTTTCTTTGTCTATTTTCGAACTCTTTATTATACAATCGGATATTTTTAAGGTTAACACTAATTTAAGAATAATATCGAGCATAAAAATATCTATTCAATCTCATAAGAGATGAATGCTTTCTCATATGCACTTATAGTTTGAATCAAATTTATTAATCAATAACATTTGTAAGACAACTACTACAATACATATATATATAAAAAAATATTAGACGTTAACAAGTAAATTTGATTAGAAGTCGAATGCATTAAAAATATAAAGAAAGACATCATACATGAAGCGCTTCTATTTCAGCTACTTAGGAAAATAAAGCTAATCTATTTCTATGATGAACAAATTTTTATGTTTTTTTTTCACGTCTCATATAAAAAGAATCTAATAAATATTGATATAAATAAGTACATTCAATTCCCAAGAGAAATATTATGAAAAACATATCTTTACATTAGATCTGTTTTGTGTACAATTGATTCTATATTATAATTATCGAATCATTTAAATCTACGGGTACATACTAATAGGATTAATTTAGTAGGAAAAGTTTTTAATTGATTTATTATTAGTAACATTAAAACATGACTTCAGATTTATTACTATTTTCTTGATTAAAGTCTCAAGATGATATAAGTGATAATCTTATTGTATACTAGAAGAAAAAGAGTTTATATAAAGATTTACAGGCACTACATGCATTGTCTTATCCTTTTATTTGGAGTGGCAAAAAAAAGCATTTATCTAAAGATGACAAAGAGAAAATGCATTCGTTTAATCTAACTCAATAAGTTGAGAGAAGAAATTTTCAGTAGTCTATAAATGTTCAGAGATTTTCGGGATAGCACAATTTATTGTTTATAGTTCAAACAAACTTATTGATTAATCGAGGTCAACAAGTTAAGTTGTTTTGTAACTCGTCGTCTTGCCATGCTCTATTTAATACTAAAGAAATATCAAAGCTTTTACGCCAATTATTATGCATAAAAAACAGTTTGCAACCATTTGTTTATTTCTATTAAATATCTTGGAAACTACTCTAATTCAATTTCTTTATCTGAAACAGATATATTTTCGAATATCTATATAAAAAATATTTTCTAGGCACATTACTTGTAAAACTTTTTCAATATTATAAATGGTCATTTGTCAAATTTCTCTATGAAGATAATCCGAAACCTTGGCATGAATGTCAAGTTTTATTACGACCAATAGCGCATACATTTGCATCAAATCAAATTCGTTCGGATAATCGAAAAGTTACAAGTCATGATATAAAAGATAATTTTAAATCAATTTTTATTGATTTTATTAGTAATAATGCATCAGGTATTAATAGAATGAGAGAGAAAAAAATGAAGAATGATTTAAATATTTTTCTAGTATCATTATGGTGTGTTAATC